TTACCCATGTCCGGAACGCCGAGGTCGTTCTGCGTTCCGTCAAAGGACCTGCGGTCCCAGGCCTCTTCCGGTGTCGGGTCCCCGGGCTGCGTCGCTTGCGGGTTCGGTTCGACCGGTTCGCGGTCAATCAGGTTTTCCCGGCGCAGCTGATGACGCAGCAGGGACAGGTTCAAAAGCGCCAGCAGATGCGGCAGACGGTACCAGGGTCGCCAGCGGTTGAGCAGCCCGAAGGCGCGTTCGAGTACTGCCGTGACAATCCGGTTGCGCAGCGGAACTGGTTCATAAAACCGTTTCCGTGCACGATGGGCAGCGCTTGCTGCGTAAACGGCCTTGCGAGCGCGGTTGAGATTTCCGAGTGGACGGAATTCAGGTCGGGTGTTCCATGGGTTGAAGGCCAGTCCGTCGATCTGAACGGCTTTGTCTTGCGCTTCCAGCGTGGTGACGTCCTGCTCGGGCACGGTCAGGACGGCGACGACTATCGGTGCCGATCTGTCTTCAGGCCATTCCGAAGCAGCATCCTCGACCGGTGTGATCTCCTCGTTCACGAAGCGCTGGACGCAAAATTCCCAGCTGGCGTCCCCTTCACTTACCAATTGGGCGATTTCGTTCCGCAGGTAATTTGGATTGTCCGGGACTTCAGTATTGCCCTCTTTTACGGCAGCACTGTTGGCAGGCCGGATAAAGTATCGCACGGGACCGGCGTCACCCCAGAGCGCCGCTCCGCGGCTCCAGAAGCTTTCCTCCGTCAGCGAATGGACGGGACGCTTGGTGCCACCTGAAACATTGCGAAGCATCCGAATGGCTTCCCGCGGACCGACCGCGAATACCAGCTTGATGACACCGACAATTCGGTTTCCGGCCATGGCGGAGGCAAATGCGATGAACTGTTCGGCATCACGGGCGTGCGGAACGGGAAAATTCGTCATCAGGAGGTCCTGGACACCGGCGCCGGTATCCACCCTGAGCGCCGCACCTCGCAGGTCACGATCGCTGTCCGGCTGGTGCTGGCCGCTCGCGTTGGACAGGCGCAGGACAACAGGCAGTTCCGCACCTTTTTGCCAGTGGCCCACGGACAGATCATCCGGCAGGTCTTCGGAAACCTTGAGCACCGCATTGTCAATCGCCAGAAGTGCCTTGGCGTGTTGCGCGCGATCGATGCGCAGCGCACCGGATCTGCGACGGACCTTGTCCTGAACTTTCAGGATCGCATGGGCGAAGCGCTCGAAGTCCTTGCGCTCCTGTTCGGCTCCGTTTCTTTCGCTCCTGTATTTCTCCCACTTTGTAATTACAACAATATTGTCAGTAATTTCAGGTTTGTTTTCGTCGTCTGAAGCCAACATACACGCGCCCTCACAACCAAAAAGAGAAAGAATTGAAATATTCTAAAATAAAGCAAACTGTATATTGATATTATATTGCTGAATTTTGTAATTTTCAACGCGGCTGTTGAGGTGCATTTGAGTTTTATTGTCATTACCTTACGAAATAGCGGCAACCTCTTTAAACAAAAGGGAAATGTCGTGCCTTGATTGTATCGAAGATGCCTTCGGCCTTGTTATCCAGCGACAGGCGGGTATACGACCGCGCTGGCGAAAGCATGTTGAGATTCCGCCTACAACCTGTTCATCGCCAGGCAAGGGCAGCGCCTCTAGAGAGGCCATGCAGGTATCTGCTTCTAGTGAGCGACCGATTTCGAAAAGACATTGATGATCACGACGCCTGCGATGATCAGGCCGAGACCGACAAGGGCGGGAAGGTCCAGTTTCTGATCGAACGCCAGCCAGGCAACCATGGTGATCAGAACGATTCCGGCACCCGACCAGATGGCGTAGACCACACCGGTGGGTAGTACCCGGATCGGGTAGGACAAAAGCCAGAATGACAGACCGTAGCCGGCAATCGTGATGAGCGACGGCACAAGACGCGTGAAGTTTTCGGTTCTTGCCAATGCGGAGGTCGCGATGACTTCTGCCAGGATGGCGGCACCCAGGAACAGGTAGGTTGCGATCGGGCTGGCGGGCATGTGCGGCTCTTTAACTTGCAAAAGGAGGCGAAGGGCTACCGAAGCGGACCGAAGTCGGTTGGCAGGAACACGTGCGGTTCAATCCGCTGTTTGTCACGAGAATGCTTCCTCGCGCAATATCCGTGTGAATTTTCTGCCAGCTCCGGACGCTGCCGTCGGTGGAGTTTGACATCATCGGGGACGGATAAAGTTGGGGCGGCGGCGGCGGCCGGAAGCCTTGCAAACTCAGGCTTTTCCCCCGAACGGATTTGCCGGGTGCTCCAACGCAAACCCGGTTGACGTTGTCTTCCGCCAAGGTAACCGAATTGATGTCAAGGAACCGGTTGAGAACACAATGACTTGAAGCGGCCATTAATTTGCCGTTTACCATAATATTGTTCGCTTGAACTCTGCGTTGCGTATTGAAGAGTGTCCTTTCGGTCCCGGATCCGGGGTCAGATGGCGCGCAGTTGCAATGTTGAACTGGATTGTCCGCTCGACCGAGCGCAAAGGGAATTGAAAATGGCATCAAAACTGAGCCGCCGTCATTTGGTTTTTGCAGTTCCGTTTCTGTTGGCGGCCTGTCAGGGCAAGCAGAAATCGACTGTTCAGGCGGGTCTGACCCCTCTTTCAGACGGAACACCGAATTATGCGTCCGCCTACGCGCCGGTCCGGGATGGTGGATTTTCACTTCCGGGGATCGACTATCAGTCTTTTGATCCGAAATACCTGCGGCAAACGGTGTTTTATCCAACCAGATATCCTGCAGGGACAATCGTCGTCGATCCGAAAAAGAAATTCCTTTATCTTGTTCAACCCGGCGGGCGCGCCATCCGCTATGGCATCGGTGTCGGGCGCGCGGGCTTTGCCTGGAACGGGGAAGCGGTAATCCGTTTCAAGCGGGAATGGCCGAAATGGTTCCCGCCCGACGAGATGATCGAGCGTGACCCCAAACTGGAAAAGTATAGGGACGGGCAGGAGGGTGGACCGCGAAACCCCATCGGTGCCCGCGGGCTCTATCTCTGGCAGGGCAACAAGGATACGCTCTACCGCATCCACAGTACCAACCAGCCGAGCAGCATCGGGACCAATGCGTCCAGCGGCTGTATCCGCATGTGGCACCAGGACATTATCGATCTTTACAAGCGCGTCGAGCTCGGCACCAAGGTGGTTGTGCTGAGCTGATCTTCAGCCCGCTCCGTCCATTTGCACGTCAAAGAATGTTTCGGGACTGTCGGTTTCCGCAAGCCGTTTACCGTCGATAAGCCAGAATCGTGTGCCGACATTGCGCACGAAAGTTCGGTCGTGGCTGACAATCAGCGCTGTGGTGTCGTGGATGAGCAGTTCCCGCTCAAGCGCTTCCTGGCCATCGATATCGAGATGGTTGGTGGGTTCGTCGAGGACATAGAGGTTCGGCTTTGAAAGGCGCAGCAAAAGCATCGCCAACCTGCTGCGTTGTCCTCCCGAGAGAATGGAGATGCGTTTTTCCTGCAGATCGATATGAAGGCCTGCTTCGGCCAGGAGCGCGCGTGCTCTGTGGTCGCCGACATCCGACATCTCCGTCACCGCGGACATCGGGCTCTTGAACCTGTCGAGCTGGGAAAGGTTCTGATCGGAAACACCAGGGATTGCAGAAGGGGCAACGCGGATATTGGCAACTTCGGCATCAAGTGCGCCCGTCACCAGCGACAGCAGCCGTGTCTTGCCGGTACCGTTCGCGCCAAGAACAACGACCCTGTCTCCGGGGTTGATCCATAGCGGTGGAAGCTTGAACAGCGTACGGCCGTCCGGAATTGTCACGGCAGATTCGGCAAGGCTGACCAGGGCCTTGGCGTGCGCTCCTGAGTTTTCCAGGCGGATTTTTCCTGCAGATTGATGCCTTTCAGCGGGCCGGGCCGTATCTTCTATTTTCTGGGCACGCTCGTTCAGCTGTTTGGTCTTGTTAAGCAGCAGATCAGACCCTGAATTGATGCCGATGTTTTTCAACTTCGCAGCTTTGCGGCGGAGCTGGCTCGCCTTGGCGAGGTCGTTCTGAAACTGACGTTCGGCAGCGCTATCCTGTTCCGAAAGGCTTTCGCGTGCCTTTGTGTAAGGCGACGCGAAGACATGCGATTTTTCGCGGCGCAGGAAAAGGGTCCGGTTGCAGACCGCATCCAGAAACGCCCGGTCGTGACTGGCCACGATCATCGGTGTGCTGCGCGCGACGGTCGAAATCCAGGTCTGCAAAACCCCGATCCGGTTCAGGTCCAGGTGGTTCGTCGGTTCGTCCAGCAGAAGCACATCGGGCTCGCTCACCCAGGCCCTTGCAAGCAGCGCAACCCTTTGCCAGCCACCCGACAGTTGGTTCAGGGGACGTCGCCAATGAACCTCGGGAACCTCCAGGTCATTCAACGCGATATCGGCACGCCAGCTTTCCGTTTCGATCTGCTCGGGATCGAGTGCGGACAGGACCGCGTCATAGAGCGACAGTTCCTCAAGGCCGTCCGGAACATCCTGTGTAACAAGTCCAACCTTCGTCCCCCGCGCAAGGATGATGTCGCCCTGTGTCGCCTCGGTCTCACCGGCGACAATGCGGAGCAGCGTGGATTTGCCTGTCCCGTTTGCCGCAACGAGACCGATCCGCTCACCTTTGCCAAGGCTAAGGTTCAGGTTTTCAAACAGGGATGTAGAGTAAATAACGCCGAGATTGCGCAGATTGACCAGGGACATGTGTCACGACTTTCGAACCGGGATTCGCAGCATCAAAGCTGCCTTCTGGGCAGATCGTGGTGACTTGAAAAATTGTCCTCCGATCAGCCCTACAAACGCATTTGCAGGGCCTGGACGGGACCTCGGGTTCGATCATGGAAGCGGAAATACGTCAAATGATCCTCCCTTGGCTCGTGTGGACTGTCCGGAACGCTAGTTCGGTCTTTTCGTCAAGTCAATCATCCCGGCAATCTTTTGACCTGTTTGAGGAGACCATCAAGCCTGAGAGACACCGGGCGCGCCGGACAGGTCAGGCCGGCGCGAACATGTCCTGAAACTTGTCCCGCAGGATGTTTTTCTGAACCTTGCCCATGGTGTTGCGCGGCAGTTCATCAATCACGATCAGCTTTTTCGGGTGCTTGAACCGCGCCAGCGAGGTCTTGACCGCTTCGTGGATTGACTCGATATCCGGGGCCACGTCTTTCTCCGGCACAAGCACGCCCAGCACCGTTTCGCCAAAATCCGGATGAGGAACACCGATCACTGCACTTTCCGCAACACCGGGTTGATCGTCCAGGACAAGCTCGATTTCCTTGGGATAGATATTGTAGCCGCCGGAAATAATCAGGTCCTTGTTGCGGCCAACGATGTGAACATATCCGTCCTCGTCGATCCGCCCGAGATCTCCTGTGATGAAGAATCCGTCGCTACGCAGTTCGGCAGCGGTTTTTTCCGGCATCTGCCAATAGCCCTTGAACACATTGGGGCCACGCACCTCGATCTGGCCGACGTCGCCCGGAGGCAGGGTTGCACCGCTCTCCGGATCGGTGATCTTGAGTTCCACGCCGGGAAGCGGAAAGCCGACGGTTCCGGCGCGACGCTCGCCATCATAGGGATTGGACGTGTTCATGTTCGTTTCGGTCATGCCATATCGTTCCAGAATGCGATGACCCGTCCGGTTTTCGAACTGGACGTGGGTTTCGGCCAGGAGCGGAGCGGACCCGGACACAAATAGACGCATGTGAGCCGTCAGTTCCCGGGTGAACCGCGGGTCGTCAAGCAGCCGGGTATAGAATGTTGGAACGCCCATCATTGCGGTCACGTCCGGCATGTGTGCGATGATCTGGTCCAGGTCGAATTTCGGCATGAAGATCATGCTCGCCCCCGATGCCAGGACGACATTCGTCGCCACGAACAGCCCATGCGTGTGAAAGATCGGCAGTGCGTGCAGCAGAACATCGCCTTTGGTGAAACGCCACTCCCCGACAAGGGTCTCGGCATTGGAAAGGAGATTGTTCTGCGTCAGCATTGCTCCCTTGGACCGACCCGTCGTGCCTGAAGTATAGAGAAACGCGGCAAGGTCGTCGCCTGATCGGTCGACAGTGGCAAAACGTGTCGGCATCTCGGCGGCGCGCGCGCTCAAAGAGCCTGTTCCGTCCGGATTCAGCGTTTCGATCTTCGCGTTCAGTGACGCCGCGACCGGCTCCAGAGCATCTTTGCTGCGGCCATCGCACACGATCAGCGAAGCACCGCTATTGTCGATGAAATAGGTCAGCTCATCGACCGTATAGGCCGTGTTGAGCGGCAAGAACACCAATCCCGCCTGGGCGCAGGCGGCATAGAGCGCGAGTGCTTCCGGCGATTTTTGAATCTGTGCTGCGACCCGGTCACCGGCTGTCAGCCCGATTTGCGCAAGTACATTGGCGGTTCTCGCAGCCATTTCCAGGAAATCCTGATGCGTGATCGTGCTTCCGTCAAGCAGGTGGAGAAACGGTGTCGTCTTGCCAGCATGAACGCCAAACAGGCTGTCAAAGAGTGGATTAGGCATCGGCGTTACCTTTGCTTGTCTGTTGGAGCGCAGCGGATCTGGCAAGTGACTTGACTGCATCCGCGGCCATCACTTCCTGCGTCGTTGCAAACTTTTCGTGGTTTTGAGCGACTTTGGCGAGGTCGTAAAGATAGTTGACCATCGTTCCACCGGATTGTGCGCGGCCCTTGTCCGACGTGTCCGCATCTGGATGGACTGCATGAATGATGGCGCCATTGCCAAGATGAAAGCGGGCGACGGGGTCGAAGGGTCTGGTGCCCCTGGACTTTGCATTCAGCAGGTAGTGGGCCGCCGTGGCCTTCATCTCTTCCGGCGCGGCAGCATGCCACTCGACGCCTTCGCGTTCCAGCCATCTCGTAAGTCCTGGAATGGGTGACAAGGTCACGAAGGTCTTCAGTCCACCGAGTTCAGCGGCCAGATCGGAAGCGACCTGTTTGATCAGTGAGTTGCCGAACGAGATATTTGCCAGGCCTGCCTGGCAATTGGATATCGAATAGAAAACAGCCGTATCGGCGTCTTCGGCCGGGTGCGCTTCCCGGTCCTCCGCCAGGAGAGACTGTATGGAGTTTGCAATTCCCTTTGTCAGAGCGACTTCGACGAAGATCAGCGGCTCATCAGGCATCGACGGATGAAAAAAAGCGAAGCAACGCCTGTCGGCCGGTTCCAGGCGGCGGCGAAGATCATCCCAGCTATGGATCGCATGAACCGCTTCATAGGCGATGATTTTTTCCAGGATATGGGCCGGGCTTTCCCAGTTGATGGGCCTGAGAACCAGGAACCCGCGGTTGAACCAGGATGCAAACAGGTGCCGCAGATCGAGATCCAGGGCATCGAGTTCGGGATCCTTGTCGCCGAGCCTCAACAGATCCGCACGCATGTTGACGAGTGTGCCCGTTGCTCCCGGCACCCTGTTCAAGCGCCGGAAGAGTTCCTGTCTTCGAGGTTCTGAGGCCGTCATGAAGTCCCGGTAACTCGCCTTGCACGGGTTCTTCTCATAGGCATCCAGTGCGGTTCGCACTTTTTCCGGGTCAATGTTGAGCCTGCCGGCGACTGTGCGGAAGAAGACGAGCTTGTCTTCATCGTTCAGATCCTCGAAGCCCGACAGGATGTCCTGCGCGAGCGCCAGTCCCGACGTTTCACCCGCCGAGCCGACCAGATCGCCAGCCAGTTCTTCAAGTGGCCGGTCATTCCGCAGATATCGTGCGGGTTGCCGGTAGCGACGCTCGAAGACGGTGGACAAAAGGTCGGCGAGCAGTGTCATACCGCCGCCCCCATGATCACGTCGGGAAGCCAGGTCGCCAACTCGGGGAAAAGGCAAAGGAGAATGATCGCCAGGACCATGCACCCGACAAAAGGCAGGGAGCCGGTCAGGATTGTCTTCAGGGAGATATCCGGCGCAATGCCGTTGATGACGTAAAGGTTCAAACCGACGGGGGGAGATATCAGTCCGATTTCCATGTTGATAGTCAGTACAACGGCGAACCAGATCGGGTCGAAACCGGCTGTGGTTATGATCGGCAACAGGATCGGAGCGGCCATCAGGATGACGGCAACCGGCGGCAGGAAAAAGCCCGCGATCAGCAGGAAGATGTTGACGGCACTCATCAGGATCCAGCGGTTCACATCAAGGGTCCCGATCCATTCGGCGATCGACTGCGTGATGAACAATGAGCTGAGCATGTACGAGAACACACCGGCCGCGGCGATGATGAAGAGGATCATCACCGATTCCTTGGTGCTGTCGCGCAGGACCACCCAAAGCGCCTGCGGCTGCCAGAGCTTGTAGATGATCATGGCGATCAGCAGGCACAGGAGAGCACCGACTGCTGCAGTCTCGGACGGGGTCGCAATACCGCCATACATGGCATAGAGCACGCCAAGGATGATGGCCAGAAACGGGAGAACGCGCGGAAGAATTTCAAATCGTTCCGCCCAGCTGTAACTGCCCGCACTCAATTGCCCGCCGTCACCGGATTTCCAGGTCGAATAGAGTGACCAGGCCATGAACAGGCCGACCAGCATCAGGCCCGGGATTACGCCTGCCAGAAACAAGCGGCCGATCGAGGTTTCGGTCGCAATGCCATAAACGATCATGGTGACGGACGGCGGAATGAGAATGCCAAGCGTGCCTCCCGCCGCAATGGAACCGGCAGCGACACCATCCGGATATCCGCGCTTGCGCATTTCCGGTATGCCCATCTTGCCGATGGCTGCACATGTTGCCGGTGAAGAGCCGGACATGGCTGCGAAGAGCGCGCACGCGCCGAGATTTGAGACGACCAGCCCACCCGGGACCCGTGTCAGCCACCGCTCGAGCGCCTCATACAGATCTGCACCTGCCCTGGTGGACGCGATTGAAGCGCCCATGATGATGAACATCGGGATCGATAGCAGTGCAAAGTTGTCGAGCTTGCCGAAAAGGATTTCCGGCATCAGTTCCAGTGAGCGGGGGCCATCGAATATGATCAGGAAACCGGCGGATACGATCAACAGTCCAATGGCTACGGACACACCGGAAAAGAGAACCAGAATGGTCGCAATGGCAACGATTGCGCCAAGAAGAAGAGGGTCCATCGCCGTTACTCCAGGCCAAACGGTTTGTCTGCTCCGGTCAGTACGGCCACCAGGTCAGCGACAAGCTGCAGCAGGAGGAGGCCGAAACCGATCGGAAGGGCGAGGTAGGGGATCCAGAGTCTGACGCCCCAAACCGTGTCGGAACGCCAGCCGCGATCCCAGGCGAAATGCCAGTATTCGTAACCATACCAGAGCATGATCGAGATTATGACGATAGACAGCGCCGATGTGAGAATGGCGAGCGCAAATCGTGCCCGGGGTGGAAGCGAAAGCGGAATGAGGTCGACATTCACATGACCGCGCAGGCGCTGCACATAGGGCAGCCCGATCAAGGTTGCGGAAATGACAAGATAGATCACGGCCTCGGTCTGCCAGACGGTTGAGGCATTGAGTACCCATCGCACGAATATCATCTGGCAGGTAATGGCGACGGCCGCGACGATCATGGTCGCGGAACACCAGCCTGCCAGGGTTGAGATGGCTGCAACGGCGCGCAGAAACGGGTTGTTTCCAGTGCGCGCGGCAACAGCAGAGCTATGGCCGGCCATAACCGACTCCCCCAGATCCGGGATTGAAAGAAAGGGCGGGCGGCCTGGGCCGCCCGCAATGCCGTTATTCGACAGCCAGAGCCTTGTCGAGCAGATCCTGTCCGCCCGGCACTTCCTCGACGAATTTCTTGTAGGAAGTCTCCATGGCCAGCTTGCGCCAGGCTTCGAAGTCCTCCGGGCTCATCTCGGCGATATCAACCCCGGCTTCCTCAAAGACCTGAACCGAGGCGGCGTCCTGTTTCTTCGCTTCTTCCAGATAGAACGCCTCGGCCTTCTCGGCTCCTGCCAGGAGCGCTTGCTGCTGGGCTTCGTTCAGCCCTTCAAAGCTCGACTTGTTCATCAACAGCGGCTGATACATGAACCAGAGCGCGACGTCGCCAGCAGGTGTATAACACTTCACCTGTTCGTAGATCCGATAGGAAACGAAGGACGAGGACGAGGTGTTGGCCGCCTGCAGAACACCGGTTTGCATGGCGTTGTATATTTCGGACGAGGCCATCGAAGCGATGGACGCACCTGCTCCGGCGAGCATCTGTTCGAATGACTTGCCGGCCGCACGGGTCTGCAGACCTTTGACGTCATCAGGGCTCGTGATGCACTTGTCCGTTCCGGCAAAGCCACCGGCGAGATAGCCGTGAACGAGAACCATCACATCGTCTTCCGCCATTTTCGCCTCAAGGGCGTCCATGAACGGCGAGTCGCTGAGACGGGCTGCGTGATCGTGGTTTTTCACAAGGCCCGGCATCAGGGTAAGGTTGTACGCTGGCTGCTGGCCACCGGCGTAGCTCAGCGGGAACACGGTCATGTCGAGCTGACCGCGGCTCAGCGGCTTGTATTGCTCACGGGGTTTGAACAGCGACTTCGATCCGAAGATCTTGATGTTCAGGTCGACATCCGCCGCTGCGACTTCATCGGCAACGATCTGTGCAACCTGGTGGCGAACATCCTTGTTTGACCATTGGTGCGACAATCGTAGTTCTGTCGCGTTGACGATCGATGCAGAACTCATGATGGCAAGGGCTGCCACCGCACCTTTCATAAAAGTTTTCATAATTTCCTCCCGAAGTGTCCGCCCGGGAGGCTTACCCGGGTGGATGGGGCCAATCTAAGGTTGGTTTGTATTTTTAGTCAACAATCTTGTATACAAAAAATTCGAATTTGCGTTTCAGAAGGGATCGAATTACAAGAAATGTCATGGAACAACGCCGCGCCGACAACATAGCTGAAGCGCTGGAAGAGCATATATTCAGCGGCTCTTTCCAGGACGGGGATCGCCTCGATGAAGTCAGGCTCGCCGAACAGTTCGGTGTCTCGCGCACCCCGTTGCGCGAGGCCTTTCAAAGGCTCGCGCTATCCGGCCTGGTCGAACTGGTGCCTCGGCGGGGCGCATTCGTTCGCCAGCCCGGACCGATCGAGCTGATGGAAATGTTCGAGGTCATGGCAGAGCTTGAAGCCGTGTGCGGACGCCTGGCGGCGATGCGGATATCGGAAGAGGCACTGGACGATCTTCGCGATGCGAATGCCAAGTGCCAGAAAGCGGTCGATGCCAGGGACACGGACGGCTACTACACCGAGAACGAACGTTTCCACAAAACCATTTACAGGCAGTCGGGTAATCGTTTCCTGGAACAGGAAGCGGCCAAACTGCACAAACGTTTGAAACCGTTCCGGCGGCAGCAATTGAAGTTCCGCGGCCGGATGGCCCAATCCATGGCCGAACACGAGGCTATTGTCGATGCATTGGCCACCGGCAAGCCGGAGGAATCCGCCAATGCGCTACGCAATCATGTCGCGGTTCAGGGCGAAAAGTTTCACAATCTGATGGCAAGCCTGAAAAGCAAGGCAGAGTGAAAACTCAAGGCGCAGTCTTTGCAAACGCTGGCGGATCAAACAGGCATACGTGATTTTTCAGATTGACCTTCCAGTGACTGGAAGCCCTAACTGACACCTGCAGTCAACTTGGAAAGAGTATCCAGATCATGCAGGAAACCGTTGCCTCAATTGCACCAACAGAGGAAAACCGCGAGGCCACCGACCCGGTCTGCGGCATGACGGTTGCGCTCGGCAAGGGCAAGCCGACACTTCGCTACAAGGGTGAAGACTACCACTTCTGCAATCCGAAATGTCACGACAAGTTCGAGACGGACCCTTACTTCTACCTGTCAGGCAACAATCTGAAAAAGAAGGAGCTGGAAGCCGAAAGATCCGCGACCGGCGCTCTTTTTACGTGCCCTATGGACCCGGAAATCGTGCAGGAGGGCCCGGGCACATGCCCGATCTGCGGCATGGCGCTCGAACCGATGAGCGGTGTCTCCGACGAACCCAATCACGAACTCATCGATTTCACCCGTCGTCTCTGGGTCAGCGCGTTGGCTGCCATCCCCCTTCTTGTCCTGACCATGGGACCCATGGTCGGCGTGCCGGTACGCGACTGGATCGGGGAAGGCTTTGCAATCTATCTCGAGGCGATTCTTGCCACACCCGTTGTGCTTTGGGCGGCCCTGCCGTTCTTTCAACGCGGCTGGACTTCGCTCGTCACACGTCACTTCAACATGTGGACACTGATCATGATCGGTGTTGGCGCCGCCTATCTTTATTCCATGATAGCCGCTTTCATGCCGTTCCTTTTTCCAGACACCCTCAAGGGTGCAGGCGGACATATGCCGGTCTATTTCGAGGCGGCAGTGGTGATTGTTGCGCTGGTTTTCGTCGGTCAGGTTCTGGAATTGAATGCAAGGGAACGCACGGGTGACGCCATTCGCGCGTTGCTTGACCTTGCACCGAAGACCGCTCGGCGGATTGTTGCTGATGGCGACGAATATGACGCACCGCTTGAAAACATCGTGGCCGGCGACAGGCTGCGTGTCCGGCCCGGTGAAGCGGTCCCGGTCGATGGAGTTGTACTGGAAGGGGGATCATCGGTCGACGAGAGCCTGGTCACAGGTGAACCGGTTCCGGTCGCAAAGGAACCTGGCGACAGGGTCACGGGCGGTACACTCAACAAGACCGGTACCCTTGTCATGGAAGCGCAGCTGGTCGGCGAAGACACGATGCTCGCCAAGATCGTCGACATGGTGGCTTCAGCACAGCGGTCCCGCGCACCCATCCAGGGTCTTGCTGACCGCGTGGCGGGCTATTTCGTGCCGACTGTCGTCGGTGTCGCAGTGCTGGCGTTCTGTGCCTGGCTTGTATTCGGACCAAGCCCGTCACTGGTGCATGCCGTAATTGCCGCCGTCTCCGTCCTCATCATCGCCTGTCCCTGTGCGCTCGGACTGGCAACGCCCATGTCGATCATGACCGCAACAGGAAGAGGTGCGCAGGCGGGCGTCCTCGTCAAGACCGCCGAAAGCCTGGAACGTCTTGCCGAGGTCGATATGATTGTTGTCGACAAGACCGGGACGCTTACGGAAGGTCGTCCGGTGGTAAGCGATATTCTTCCCAAAGCCGGTGTCACGGAAAATCATGTTCTGGAACTGGCCGCAGCGCTCGAAAAAGGGTCCGAACACCCCCTCGCCGAAGCCATCCTCGATGCAGCTGGAGAACGACAGCTCGACATTCCGGTGGCAAACAGTTTTGAAGCGGTGACCGGCAAGGGCGTGACCGCAAAAATCGGCACCAGCCGTGTTTTCCTGGGAAATGCCGTTTTTGCAAGGGAGACCGGTGTTGATCTCGATGGACTGGACGAACGTGCTGAGGAGCTTTCCGAACTGGGCAGGACCGTCATGTTCCTGGTTCAGGATTTTGGGGGGCAAGCCTTTCTTCAAGGCCTGATTGCTGTCTCCGATCCGGTAAAGCCGAATGCCAAGGCGGCTATCGCTGCACTCCATCATGATGGCGTGAAAATCGTCATGGCGACCGGTGATGCACCGCAGACAGCTGCGGCCGTCGCTGCCGTTTTGGGAATTGACGAGGTCCATGCCGGCGTTTTGCCGGAAGGAAAGCAGAAGCTTGTCGAAGACTTGAAAGCCGGTGGCCACACGGTCGCAATGGCGGGAGATGGCGTCAACGACGCCCCTGCGCTTGCAGCGGCTGACGTCGGACTGGCTATGGGCACAGGCGCAGACGTTGCGGTCGAAAGCGCCGGCCTGACCTTGCTCAAGGGAGATCTTGAAGGGATCTTGCGCGCACGAACCCTTGCCCGTGAGACCGTGAGGAACATCCGGCAGAACCTCTTCTTCGCCTTCGCCTACAATACTGTTGGAGTTCCCGTCGCTGCAGGCGTGCTCTATCCGGTTTTCGGAGTTCTGTTGTCGCCCATGCTGGCGGCGGTCGCCATGAGTTTGTCTTCGGTCTCCGTGATCAGCAATGCGTTGCGCTTGCGCACCCTCAAACTGTGAGGACACCCGGATGAATATCGGAACAGCATCTGAATTGAGCCACCTGCCGGTCAAGACCATTCGCTACTACGAGGAGATCGGCCTGATCGAACCGACACGCAGCGGCAATGGATACCGGGATTTTTCGGAAGTGGATGTCCAAAGACTGAAATTTCTTCAGCGCGCCCGTGGGCTCGGGTTTTCGATTGAGGAATGCAGGGATCTTCTGTCGCTTTATGAGGATCGCAACCGGGCAAGCGCGGACGTTAAGGCCCTGACGCGCGCCAAGATCCAGGAAGTGGATCGAAAGATAAGCGAGCTGAAATCGCTCAAGCGCGTTCTTGAAACGCTTGCGGAAGCTTGTCACGGCGACGACCGACCGGACTGCCCGATCATTGATGATCTTGCAGGCAAGAGTGATCTGGATCAGGACTGACGGAGGCGCGAGAACATGAAACGTATCGGAACCGGAGTGGCCGTCGCCGCACTGCTTGCCGCAATACTGGCGGGGGCTGTTACCTGGCGTTCGCAATCTGTTGAAGATGCGCGGCCAGCCGAAACAGGTGCTCCTCTTGTTCAGGTGACGGAACCGGAGCTGTTGCCGGTTGCCTTGGAGGGACAGTCTGTCTTCCGCGCGAATTGCGCTGCCTGTCACGGAAATCTCGCAGATGGACGTGAAGGCCTGGGGCCGCCTCTGGTCCACAAGATCTATGAACCGGGGCATCACGGCGATGCAGCCTTTTTCCTGGCAGCTGCACAAGGTGTCCGGTCACACCACTGGCCGTTCGGCGACATGCCGCCTGTTGCGGATGTAAGCCAGGATGATGTGCGTAAGATCGTCGCCTATGTGCGTACGCTTCAGCAGGCGAACGGTATCTATTGAAGAGGAAGAGCTTGATGAAACCCAGTCATGTTTTGTGGACGATCGCGGCCGGCGTTGCAGGCCTTGGAGCTGCTTGGGCCCATGGCGGAGCCACGGGGATCGTCAAGGAACGCATGGATGCGATGACGGAAATCAGCCGCAATGTCAAACTTGTCGGCCAGATGCTGAAAGGCAACGCGGCCTACGACGGCGTTGAAATTGCGCGTGCAGGTCAGGCGATAGCCACTCATGCAGGTGAGGCGATGATCAAGCTGTTTCCCGAAGGCAGTTTGAAGGCGCCATCGGAAGCCAGCCCGTCGATCTGGAATGAATGGACGCAGTTCTCCGGGTATGCTGACAGTCTGCAAACATCGGCGCAGTCCCTGAAGGGACTTGCAGAACAAGGCGCGGATCAAAAAGCCGTTGCGGCCGCCTTTGGGAAGATGGCGGGAACCTGCAAAGCCTGTCACGAGGCATTCCGCATAAAAAAATAGTTTCTGTCGTCAATTACGCTGCGTCTTCAGCGGTTGACTTCAGCAATCTGCTTGCCACAAGGGGCAGCATGTTTTACCTGACGGTCAAACAAAGCTGATAAACAAGCTGCAACGACACGGCAACAGGAGACAGTTCGACATGACCATCCGGTACCACAAGGGGGACCTTCCGGATCTGAAGGCCTATGAGGCGGCGGAAGCGGTTGCGGTCGATTCGGAAACCCTGGGCCTCAATCCGCACAGAGATCGGCTTTGTGTCGTCCAGCTTTCCTCGGGGGACGGAACCGCGGATGTCGTGCAGATCGCGCGCGGTCAGACTGATGCGCCGAACCTTGCCAGGCTGTTTACCGACGTGACGAAGCCCAAGATTTTTCACTTTGCCAGGTTTGATGTTGCCGTGTTGCGGCACTATTTAGGCATCGAGGTCACACCTGTCTGGTGCACAAAGATCGCGTCCAAACTGGTGCGCACGTATACCGATAGGCACGGCCTGAAAGATATCACTCGCGAATTGCTGGGTGTTGAGCTGTCGAAACAGCAGCAAAGTTCGGACTGGGCCGCGGAAAACCTGTCGGATGCGCAACTCGCCTACGCCGCATCGGATGTATTGTATTTGCATGCATTGAAGGAAAATCTGGAATTCATGCTCGAACGGGAAGAACGTGGGCACATTGCAAAGGCTTGCTTTGACTTTTTGCCGGTTCGTGCCGAACTCGATCTCAAGGGTTGGGACGAAAACGACATTTTCGCTCATTCCTGACCAGGGCGAGTGGTTGCCGCGTTCTGGCGGCGACGCTCTTTTGGAGACACCATTGACAGTCAGCAGCGAAGACACGGGACAATCGGTCCCGAAGCACCAGTTCAGCCGTGCACAGCGGGCCGCCCGCAGGCACAGCATTATGGTGCGCGTTTTACGCTGGCTGTTTCCCGGAATCGGCCTGTTGATCCTGGCCGTCATGGTCGGGCTGGTGGTCTTGTTCAACGTATTGAGCGGTTTTGGTGCGGCGAACATGATGCTGACCAGCGACGGGCTGGTGATGGATCATCCGGAATTGTCCGGTCATGACGGCGAGCGATCCTACAAGGTGACCGCGCGCCGCGCGATCCAGAGATTGAGTGATCCGCGTATCATCGATCTTGAGACGATTCGCGCCGATATCGTGCTCGACGAGGATGAGAGCGCTGAAATCATTGCGCTTAAAGGCACTTACAACAATGCGGCAGAGACCTTGCGTCTTTTTGAAGGTATCCAGATCGAATGGAGCGAAGGATATACCGTGGATCTGTCCGAAGTGGATATCGATCTGAAGGATGGCGCGATGCGCACGTCGGAACCGGTTTCTATCCGGTCGGAACAAGGTCGTGTTCAGTCTGGTAAACTTTCATATGATAAGGCTAAAGGTCTCGTCCGGTTTTCGGATGGTATCAAGATGACCATTCTACCGGCATCGGAAGGACAGTAGCAGATGACATTTTCCAAGCTTTTCGCGATCGCCTCTGTTGCGGTTCTGCTGACCGGCACTGCCGGCGCTCAGACATTTTCGGACTCTTTTGCGGGCTTCGGATCGAACGAAGGTGAACCGATCGAGATTGAAGCGAGTGAACTCAGGGTGGAAGACAACAACAACACGGCGACATTTGTCGGTGACGTTGTCGTGATCCAGGGCGAAACCAGCCTTAAGACCGAACGCTTGAAAGTTTTTTATGCCGGGTCTGATTCCTCGGAAGACGAAGGGGCGGTGCAGCAACGTATTTCTCGCCTGGAAGCCGAAGGAGGGGTTTTCGTGACCTCCAAGGACCAGACTGCCAAAGGGGATGCGGCAAGCTTCGACATGAACAAGGAAATCATGGTGATGACCGGCCGTGAAGTCGTTCTCAGTCAGGGTCCGAACGTGGTTGTCGGCCAGAAGCTGACGGTCAATTTGAAGACCGGACAGGCGAATTTGACGGCCGCCAACGGCAACGTGTCCGGTTCGGGCGGCGGTGGTGGACGTGTTAAGGTTCGTATCTTGCCGAACAGCGTGGAAGAGAACTGAGTTATTACCCTGCGGGCATGACGGATTTGGTTGCTACTTGACCTGAAACGCGCCCGCAATTTTTGGATGGATTTTTGTTACGTGAAGAGAAGCTCTTCAGACTACAATGGATTGCATGGAAGTATGCCGGAACCTGCTTTGCCTGAAGACGATCTGTCACAGGCGCTGGTGGTTGAGGGGATAGGCAAAACCTACGGCCGCCGCCAGGTTGTCAAGTATGTAAGCTTGTCGGTAAAACCGGGTGAAGCCGTCGGCTTGCTGGGTCCCAATGGCGCCGGCAAAACCACGACATTTTACATGATCACGGGCCTGATCAGGCCTGATCAGGGCCAGATTCTGCTTGAAGGGTTCAACATCACCCGTATGCCGATGTACCGAAGGGCGCGTCTGGGGATCGGGTATCTGCCGCAGGAAGCGTCAATTTTCCGGGGCTTGACGGTCGAGGAAAACATCCGTGCGGTTCTGGAAGTGGTGGAATCCAATCGTCAGAAACGCCGCGAAGAACTGGATTCGCTTCTGGCTGAATTCGGCCTGACTCATCTTCGCAAATCGCCGAGTATTGCCCTTTCCGGCGGAGAACGCAGGCGTGTTGAAATCGCACGGGCGCTGGCCAGTCGTCCGTCCTTCATGTTGCTCGACGAACCCTTCGCAGGTATCGACCCGATCGCGGTTGGTGATATTCAGCAACTGGTGCGTCACTTGACGCAGCGCGGGATCGGCGTCCTGATCACCGACCACAATGTACGCGAGACCCTCGGTCTGATCGACAGGGCCTATATCATCGCGTCCGGAGAGGTGCTCACCGAAGGGCTGCCGCAGGAAATCGTCACGAATCCCGACGTGCGAAGGCTTTATCTGGGCGAACAATTTACGCTTTGATGACGGGTGGCGAGCTAGGGTATAGTGCAGGTCTGCAAGTTATAAGCAAAAAACAGACCACAAGTAGCTGATAGGCGCCCGGGAACTCGATGGCCATTTCAACAAAGCTGGAGATGCGGCAAAGCCAGTCGCTGGTGATGACGCCGCAGCTGATGCAGGCGATCAAGCTTCTGCAGATGTCCAATCTCGATCTTGTTTCCTATGTTGAATCCGAACTTGAACGCAATCCGTTGCTCGAAAAAACCGACGGCGAGGCCAACGAGGGAAATACGGGTGACACTTCCGTCACTTCGGACCGGATCTCCGACAATCCCGACGGTTCTTCTCCCGCTGGCGAAGAACCGGATGCCGGGGACTGGATGCAAAACGACCTGGAAACCGGGTCCGAGGCCATTGCATCGCGCATGGATACCGATCTTGGCAATGTATTTCCGGACGAACCTGGCGTGCCTGCATCTCCGGACCCTGCCCTCCTGAAAACCGGTGACAGCTACAAGAACGTCTCGAGCGGAGGCGCGTCGGAAGACTACAACCTGGAAGCCTTCGTTGCCGAGGAGGCTTCTCTGGTCACTTCGCTTGAAGAGCAGATGCATTTCGCGTTGAGCGACGAGGCGGACAGGTTGATTGCCGGTCATCTAATCAATTCTCTCGATGAAAACGGGTATCTTTATCTGGATCTGGAGGAAACGGCTGAACAGCTGGGTGTCGGGCCGGATCGTGTTGAATGGGTGCTGAACATCCTTCAGACCTTTGAACCCGCCGGTGTCTTTGCACGCAGTCTTGCCGAATGTCTGAAGCTGCAGTTGATTGACAGGAACAGGTTTGATCCGGCGATGGAAGCTTTCATCGACAATATCGAGCTGCTCGCAAAACGTGAGCTGTCCGCGCTCAAGAAGATCTGCGGTGTCGACGACGAGGATCTGACGGAGATGATCGCCGAGATCCGGGCTCTGGATCCCAAGCCGGGCAGCGTGTTCGGGTCATCGCTCGTGCAGCCTGTGGTGCCGGACGTGTTTGTCCGCCCGGCCAACGACGGCACTTGGGCAGTGGAACTGAATTCGGATACCTTGCCCAAGGTTCTGGTAAACCAGACGTATTTTGCCAAGGTCATCAAGACAGCACGAAATGAAACCGAGAAGGAATATCTGACAGATTCCCTTCAAACCGCGAATTGGCTTGCCAAAAGCCTCGATCAGCGGGCCAAGACCATTCTCAAGGTATCAACCGAAATCGTTCGCCAGCAGGATGGGTTTCTGACTTACGGGATTGCCCATCTGCGCCCTTTGAATCTGAAGACCATTGCCGAAGCGATCGGCATGCATGAATCAACCGTCAGCCGTGTGACGTCCAACAAGTTCATGGCAACGCCTCGCGGGATTTTTGAACTCAAGTATTTCTTCTCGTCTGCCATTTCCGGCACCTCTGAAGGTGACACACATTCGGCAGAAGCGGTTCGTCACCGCATTCGGCAAATGATCGATGCGGAGGACCCGAAGGCGATTCTTTCCGATGACACGATCGTGAAAACTCTCAAGAATGACGGGATCGACATTGCGCGAAGAACAGTCGCAAAATATCGCGAAGCGATGAAAATCGGCTCATCGGTTCAGCGCCGCCGCGAAAAGAATTCCAATATCTGAGACACGATCAGCCGAGCGACAGGACCAAAGGTGGCAATATTTCGAACTGAAATCGAAATATCCACTGAGACAATTTATTGGAACTACACCATTCTTCCGATGCGTTTGCCGACCTGTTTATTAAGAATTGACACTTTGCGTTAGCGCAATTATAGCACCGCCCTCATGACGTAATGAGGGGATGGCGCTGACGCGCTGACTGGTCCATTCTGTGGACTTGAGACGTTTCGCGTCTCGACATCGGCAATTGCTGATGATTTATCGGCCAATAGAAAAAGAAGAGGTCCCCATGGCTTTGCGGATTTCGGGTAAGAATGTTGATGTGGGCGATGCACTTCGCGAGCACATCACAGACCGAATCGATGATGCCCTGTCCAAGTATTTCACGGGCGGATTCACTGGCCACGTCACGCTTAGCAGGGAGGGCACAGGCTTCAAGTCTGAATGCAACCTGCACCTGGACACGGGAATCGTGCTACAGGTGTCGGCGCAGGATCAGGATCCGCGCAACAGTTTCGATGCTGCTGCGGACAAGATCGAAAAGCGATTGCGCCGTTACAAGCGGAAGCTAAAGGATCACCACAGCCACAACGGCAACGGTCGTGAGGCGTTCGAAGCAGCATCCTACGTATTGGCGTCACCGGAGGACGACGAGGAAGTGCCGGTGGATTTCAATCCGCTTGTTATTGCCGAGACCTCTGCCAAGGTTAAGACCATGACAGTCGGTATGGCGGTGATGGAGCTGGATCTGACCGAAGCACCGGTGGTTCTGTTCAAAAATGCGGCAAATGGCGGTGTAAACGTTGTCTACCGCAGAGCAGATGGCAATATAGGGTGGATAGACCCAGCGTTGGTGGCCGGTGAGGCCGCCGAATAAAATGATGCGGAAGAAGCCGGCATCCACGCCGGAGCCGGCTTCCGAAATTTGTAGGCAAACTAATGGATCTTAGTGATCTTCTGGGTAAAGATGCGGTGGTTTCCTGCCTGAAAGCCAAAAGCAAGAAACAGGCAATTCAGGAACTCTCCGGCCGTGCGGCGGAACTGACCGGTCTTTCCGAACGCGAAATTTTCGACACTTTGCTTCAGCGCGAGCGGTTGGGATCTACGGGAGTAGGTCACGGCATTGCGATCCCGCATGGCAAATTGACACGTCTTGACCGCCTGATGGGGATATTTGCGAAGCTCGACAAGCCAGTGGATTTTGATGCGCTGGATGACGAGCCGGTCGACCTCGTTTTCCTGCTGCTCGCACCCGAAGGGGCAGGTGCTGACCATCTGAAGGCTCTTGCCCGGATTGCGCGCCAGTTACGCGATTCTTCGGTCACCCAGGGTATCCGCGCGTCCTCGGACGCTGAACAGATATTCGGTTACCTGACGCAGCCTCTGGCGTCTTCCAACGCAGCTTAATCGTTTCAAATGACAAAGGACCTGCCGACCGGGCAGGTCTTTTCTGTGTCAGACTTCCGCCGGGTTGGGATCACCTTGAACCATGCCGGGCTGGGAAACGGTTTGAACCGCTCCCTTGGACAGAGCCGGCAAGTAAAGGTCGGCAAGTTCGGAAGGCGGGTTGGATTCTTCCGGAATACGCCACAATGTCGACCGGATCCCGAGTTTTCCGAGAAATCTCGTCGATGTGGAAACAGCGATGAGGACGGCGAGCAATGGTCCGATTGCAATCGGAACAATGGGCCAGACCATACCGATCGGCTGGGTGGAGATCCAGCTTAATCCGGCGAGGCCGAACAGCGTCTGCGGCCACAGCTTGGCTGCGGCTAGCGGCACGGGAAGGCGCGCAACGCCGCGCGCCTGAGCGCCCCAGCCGATGCTCTTGCCAAATACCAGCCCTCCCATGAACAGGGTATGTGCGACGGCCATGATTGGTGCCAGCATGGCCGAATAGACGATTTCCGCGCCGACACTGATCAGGATACGAACCGTCCCGCCGAAAGACTTTCTCAAGTCCTTGCGGGCGAGCACATCTGCAACTGTCGCAAGCTTCGGCGCGAACACCATCGTTAGGATCATGAAGAACAGCACCGCTCCGGTGTCGGCACGAAACGGCGCATAGTCAGTCGTCATGCCAAGTGTTGCGGCGCCGACCATGAAACCGATCCACGCGGGAGAACCCAGGAACATCAGAATTGCCAGGAACAGCTGGGCACGGCTGACAGGTTTCAGACCTTTCATTCCCAGAAGGCGGCGATACTGAAGGTTGCCCTGACACCAGCGAAGATCGCGGCGGATGAATTCCAGGAGATGCGGCGGATTGTCCTCGTAGCTGCCAGTTTCGAGAGGCAGCACGCGGCACTCATAACCTGCACGGCGCATCAGGACAGCTTCGACCTGGTCGTGTGACAGGATTGTGCCTGCCAACGGCCCCTTTCCGGGCAGGACCGGCAACCTGCAATGCTCCTTGAAGGGTTTCAGGCGCAGAAGTGCATTATGGCCCCAATAGGGTCCGCAATCGCCCTGCCACCACGCGCTTCCGATTGTGTAGGAGCGCATCCCCAGCCGCATGCCGAACTGGAAAACCCGCGCGAAGGCGCTGTCCGTCGGCAGGCCGACGACGAGGCTTTGAAGAATACCGACCTTGGGATTGGCTTCCATCCGTCGGACGAGGCCCGTGATTGCATCCGCGGACATGTAGCTGTCGGCGTCCAGCACAAGTGCAAAATCGTGATCGTCGCCCCAACTGTCGCAGAATTCCTCGATGTTGCCGGCTTTGAAGCCCGTGTTCTTCGAGCGGCGCCGGTAGATGATTTCCATCTGGCCCTGGAACCGTTCGGACATTCGCGCTGCCATTTCCTGCTCTTGAAGGGCAATTGCACCGCGCGATGTGTCACTGAGAACATACAGTTTGAAATGCTTCGACTGACCCGAACGGATCAGGTTGGTCATCATCGCGCTGAGATTGGTTTCCAGGCTTTCCACGTCCTCGTCACGCACGCAGGACAAGAGCGCCGTCGAGCTTTTCAGCGGCAACTTCGGATCGCCTGCATTGATGGGACAGACAGCGGCAAGCGGATCGCGTGAAAGCCGCATGACCAGCAAGCCGATGACCGCATTCCAGAATCCGATGATCGTCCAGGGCAGCGTGACCATGAAGCACAGCACAATGAACAGATCGAGAGGTGTCAGGCCGCCTGGTGACAGCGTGACCACCATGAGTGCAGTGAGTGCGACAAAGCTGGTTCCAAGAAGAATTGCGAAGATCAGTCGTCTGATCGTCATTCTGGTCGCTGTTTTGTCTGAAATGGAGGTGTCAGTGACTCGAAACATTTTTGTGACTTCCAATCCGGGCAATCGTGGCGATAGTGCGCATGTCAAAATGTCCTAATATTGACAACGGCTAAGCGAGCAAGCGGAATGTTACGGGAATGACGGAAAAAAGGCTGGTGACGCACGGCACAACCACGCCGCTGGCGCTGTGGTACGTCGGAAACGGGCAATGTGAACTTGAACCGGTTGCGGTTGAAGAACCCAAACCGGATGAGGTTCTCGTGCAAACTCTTTTTAGCGGTGTCAGTCGCGGAACGGAGGGTCTCGTCTCCCGAGGTGAGGTTCCCGAAAGCGAGTGGCTGCGCATGCGCGCGCCTTTCCAGGCGGGCAACTTCCCGTTTCCCGTGAAATACGGGTACGCAAATGTCGGCACGGTTCGCGGAGGAGACCCTGATCTGGTTGGTCGAACCGTCTTTTCGCTCTACCCACATCAAAGCGCTTACACTCTCCCTTCCAGTTCCTGCATGCCTGTTCCTGATGGCGTTTCGCCGGAACGTGCTGTTCTTGCTGCCAATATGGAAACAGCGCTTAACGCTATATGGGACGGAAAACCATCACCTGGGGATCACATCTGCGTGGTTGGCGGTGGTGTTGTCGGTCTCCTGACCGCTTACGTTGCCGGCAGGTTGCCTGGATCAACCGTCACCGTCATTGATACAAACCCTCAACGGGAAGAAACTGCGCGAGCACTGGGACTTTCTTTTGCCCTGCCGGAAAACGCTCCCGACAATCAGGATCTCGTGTTTCACACCAGCGCGAGTGCCGCAGGCCTGGCGACGGCTCTGGCATGCGCCGGGGACGGGACATCGATCATTGAAATGAGCTGGTACGGCGCCCGGAGCGTTGCCACGCCGCTCGGAGCGGACTTCCATAGCCGGCGGTTGAAACTCGTGTCCAGCCAGGTGGGCTCCATTCCCCTGGAACGCCAGCCACGCTGGACCTACAGGCGGCGACTGGAAGTGGCGATGACCCTGTTGAAGGACCCGGTGCTCGACAGGCTGATCACGCACGAGGTGCCCTTCCGGGCATTGCCGGATCAACTTCCCGATTTGTTGAACAAAGCGTCAGATGTCCTGGCAGCTGTTGTCGTTTATGACGCAAAAGCCTGCTAGAAAGCGCTCGACGGCCTTCCCGCCATTTGCACAGAAGTTTCAGGAACCGGAATATGTTTGCTGTTGAAGTTCGAGACCATGTCATGATTGCCCACTCCTTCAAGGGAGACCTCTTCGGTCCCGCCCAGGCACTGCATGGAGCAACTTTCGTCATCGATGCGGCCTTTCTGGCAGAAAAGCTCGACGAAAACGGCGTGGTAATCGATATTGGCCGCGCGCATGAGGCTTTGAAGGAAGTGCTTGAACCGCTCAACTACAAGAACCTGGATGATGTTCCCGAATTTGCGGGCGTCAACACGACGACCGAATTTCTGACCAAACACATTCACGACCATCTGGCGCACGCTGCACGAGAAGACCGTCTGGGTCGGCCCGGGCACGAACTGAAGGCGATCCGGGTGACGATCTCCGAATCGCACGTCGCACGGGCCTGGTACGAAGCCGGAATCTGATCCCGCATGAAAACACTTTGTTTTGCCTATCCGGGGGATCTCGAAACACCCACCGGCGGTTACGGATATGACAGGAAGGTCATCGCGGGTCTGAGAGACCTCGGGTGGCAGGTCGATCTTGTGTCGCTCGGCGACGGGTTCCCGTTTCCGTCGCAGTCGACGCTGGCAAAGGCACGGGAGCTGTTCGCACGCGTACCCGATGGTGGGAGGTTGGTCGTTGACGGGCTGGCCCTTGGCGTCATGGATGAGGCGGCCGCGGAACAAGCTGAACGGCTGGACCTGATTGCACTGGTGCATCACCCGCTGTGCCGTGAAACGGGACTTTCTCCCGATCAGGCAGCCGAACTGTTCCAGAGCGAGCGAAAATCCCTGGCGCATGCAAGACATGTCATCGTCACAAGTCATGCAACTTCCGATCAGGTGACGGACCTCTTTGCGATCGCGCAAAAGGATATCACGGTGGTTCTTCCGGGAACCGACATTCCGGCCCCCGTCTCGCGGGCAGCATCCGGCACAACGCGGCTTCTATCTGTCGGAACCGTTGTTCCCCGCAAGGGATATGATCTTCTCCTTGCCGCCTTGGCGGATCTTGCGGAATTGGATTGGAACCTCGATGTTGTCGGAGGCCTGGACGTAGATCCTGACTGCTATTCGGCTCTTCAGGCCCAGGTCGTTGACTTTGGGTTGAGCGACCGGGTGACCTTTCATGGTGCTGTTGCGCCGAAAAGGTTGCCGGATTTCTACCGGAGCGCGGACGTCTTCGTGCTGGCCAGCCGCTATGAAGGATATGGAATGGCCTACACCGAGGCACTTGCATACGCGCTGCCGGTCATCGGCAGTGGCGGCGGCGCCGTGAAGGACACGCTGCCTCCGCGCGCCAGTGTCTATTGCGGTACCGAAGACATCGACAGTTTGCGCCAGGCGCTCCAGTTGCTGATCCTTGATGAAGGCAGGCGCAGGGACATGTCTGCAGCGGCCAGGATCTCCGCGGCGCAACTGCCAAGCTGGCGGGATGCAGCCACCCAGTTCGCGCTGACGTTGGAGGCGGGGGACGCATGAGCGGATTTTCTTCCAAATGGTTGTCGCTCCGGGAACCACTCGACATAGCAGCCCGCAATCGTGCGGTGGAACAGTCTTTCCTGGAGCAGTTGCCCGGCGGCTCACCGAAAATTCTGGATCTCGCCAGTGGGGCGGGATCGACCGTGGCCGCCTTGAAAGATCGAATTCCTGCCAATACCCGTTGGTTGCTGACGGATCATGACAAGGGCTTGATTGACGTTGCCTCGAAACGCTGGAAGAACCGGTTGAAAGGCGACCTTTCATTCCGCCAGGTTGATCTGGCCGGAGCGCTTGAGGATCTGCCCATTGGTGAAGTAGACGCCGTCAGCACCTCTGCCTTTCTTGATCTTGTCTCCGAGAGTTTTCTCACGCGGCTCGTGGATTGCATCGTCAGCGCAGGGAAACCGTTCCTGGCAAGCTTGACGTATGACGGGCAGGCGGATTTCGCACCGCCCGCCACCCTGGACAGGGCGATGCGGGACGCCCTCAACACCGATCAGCTGCTGGACAAAGGCTTCGGCCCTGCCCTGGGACCTGGCGCGGCTCCCTGCGCTGTCGAGCTTTTCAAGGCGAGGGGATACAACGTCTTGCAGGGTCAGTCGGACTGGCGTGTCGACGCGTCAGAGAAGGGTTTTCTGGAGGAGTTCCTGAATGGATGGGCAGGTCTTGGTCTGAGGAAAGGTCTTGATCGCAACCTTTTGGAGGACTGGCGGAGGCTTAGGTCGGATCAGACTGCGTCCGGAGAGATCCGCGTCAGGATCGGTCACATCGACTTCGCTGCCTTTCCACGTGTGAATTGTTGAACAGGCACATACCTTGTAAGGCTAAAATTCGAATTTTTTAATTTACGATTTGCTAAGTATATCGGCATCGATTTGGCAAAAATACGGGTTGTTTGCGTAAAATGTGCAAGCTTTCGTACTCTTCCACTTTGCCTTAAAGCGCATGATAAGAAATTTGCGATAGCGTTCAGCCAAAATGAAGCACGATTACTGTGCGTTTAGAAATGGCTAACAGGGAAAAGATCAGGTTTGCTGGGCTCGATAGAAAGCCGGAGCAGTTGTTTGATCTTGGGACGTCCGCGTGATGGATCAGCGCTTAGAAACTTCAAACAGGGCAATCTACGTCGATCTGGACGGAACGCTGCTCCGCACGGATCTGCTGTGGGAAAGCCTGTTTCAGGCCCTGCGACGGAACCCATTAGTGATTTTCGCATTGTTTGGCTGGCTCATGAAGGGGATTGCCTTCACCAAGGCGAGACTTGCGGAGATCGCCGGAATTGACGTGACAGCACTGCCGTATCGAAGCGAAGTTGTTGAACAGCTCAACAGCCAGCGCGCCATGGGCCGGCGCCTTGTCCTGGCAACCGGATCAAATGAGAAGCTGGCTCACGCAGTTGCAGGCCATCTCGGCCTGTTGATTTGCGCTGAGAACTGACCCGGTAGCCCCATAAATTTTCACTGAGAACTGACCCATGTAACGACGCTACCCTGACGCTTTTGTTTGGGGGAGATATGGAGTGATCGACATGGGATTTTTAAGTGTCATTCGACGTTGGGCATTACGTGAAGGGATGCCCATTCGCGAGATAGCCCGCCGTACTGGTTTGTCTCGCAATACCATCAAGAAGTACCTGCGAGAGGGCGCTGTTGAGCCGAAGTTCAAGGTGCCCAAACGACCGAGTAATCTTGATCCGTATGCGGATCGTTTGTCTGCATGGTTGTTGGCTCAGACACGCAAATCGCGCAAAGAGCGGCGTACTGTGAAGCAGATGCACGCCGATTTGGTGAAGTTGGGCTATGCAGGATCCTATGCGCGCGTGGCCGCTTTTGCCCGTGCCTGGCGTGACGACCGGCATCGTGCCGAGCAAACAACTGGGCGCGGCACGTTTGTACCGCTGGTGTTCCAACCCGGCGAAGCGTTCCAGTTTGATTGGAGCGAAGACTGGGCCACTATCGGCGGTGAACGGGTCAAGCTGCAGGCGGCCCATACGAAGCTCTCGCACAGCCGAGCTTTCTTAGTGCGCGCCTACCCATTGCAAACGCATGAGATGCTGTTCGATGCCCATTGGCATGCGTTCCGCGTTTTTGGCGGTGTGCCTGGACGCGGGATCTATGATAACATGAAAACTGCTGTTGATCGCGTTGGCCGTGGCAAGCAGCGTGACATCAACGCCCGGTTTAAGGCGATGGCCAGTCACTATGTTTTTGAACCCGAGTTCTGCAATCCAGCGGCAGGTTGGGAGAAGGGCCAAGTCGAGAAGAACGTCCAAGATGCGCGCAATCGCATGTGGCAGGTCATGCCTGTCTTCAAGGATCTTGATGAGCTGAACCAGTGGCTGGAAGACCGCTGCATCGCCCTTTGGATTGAGACACCGCACCGGGATCTGCCCGGCACTATTGCTGACATCTGGGAAGCAGAGAAGCCCATGTTGATGGCACTACCACCCGCCTTCGACGGTTTTGTGGAGCACAGTAAGCGTGTGTCGCCAACATGTCTGATCACCTTTGAGCGTAATCGCTACAGCGTGCCCGCGAGCTTTGCCAACCGGCGCATCAGCTTGCATGTCTATCCAGAACGGCTGGTCATAGTGGCCGAGGGGAAGACCGTTTGCACACATGAGCGCATCATAGATCGATCACACCGCAAACCTGGTCGTGTTATCTACGACTGGTGCCACTATCTCGCTGTAATCCAACGTAAACCCGGTGCCTTGCGCAACGGAGCACCGTTCATTGAGATGCCAGAGGCCTTCCGCAACTTGCAAGGTCACATGCACCGCAGAGAAGGTGGTGACCGCGAGATGGTCGATATCCTGTCATTGGTTTTGCACCATGATGAGAATGCCGTTCTGTGTGCCGTAGAATTGGCGTTGGAGGCTGGCGTGCCAACCAAAACCCACATTCTGAACTTGTTGCACCGGCTGATAGACGGAACGCACACTGATCTCCCAGAGGTCGATCCACCTGATGCACTCGCATTGGAAACAGCGCCAAAGGCAAACGTGGACCGCTATGATGATCTGAGACAGGCTGGGGGCAAGTACCATGCGTCATGACCCAGCAGGAGCCTCAATCGTGATCATGCTGCGCAGTCTCAAGCTCTATGGCATGGCAAACGCCGTAGAAGATTTGGTCGCCCAAGGCGGGCCTTCTTTTGAGGCCGCAACACCTATGTTGTCCCAACTGCTCAAAGCGGAGATTGCCGAAAGGGAAGTGCGCTCAATCACATACCAGACAAAGGTGGCCCGCTTTCCGTCATACAAGGACCTCGCAGGCTTTGAGTTCAAATCTAGTGACATCAATGAAGCGACCGTCAAGCAACTGCATCGGTGCGAGTTCATGGAGAACGCTGAGAACGTCGTGCTCATCGGCGGGCCTGGAACGGGCAAAAGCCATGTCGCGACCGCCATCGGTGTTCAGGCCATTGAACATCACAGGTGCAAGGTCCGCTTCTACTCAACCGTCGAACTGGTCAACGCGCTAGAACAGGAAAAGGCGCTCGGCAAGACCGGAAAGATGGCAGAGATGATGACCAAAATTGACCTCGTGATTTTGGATGAACTTGGCTACTTGCCGTTCAGTCCATCCGGCGGCGCACTACTGTTCTATCTACTGAGCAAACTCTACGAGCGGACCAGCGTCATCATAACCACCAACCTCAGCTTCTCAGAATGGGCCCAGGTCTTTGGAGATGCAAAGATGACAACCGCGCTTCTGGATCGCCTCACACACCGCTGCCACATCCTGGAAACTGGAAACGACAGCTACCGCTTCAAAGCCAGCTCAGAGGCTGCAAAGAAAAAACGAAAGGACAAGCCAACATTGACCAACACGTAACCGCTGATACATAAACAAAGGTGGGTCAAATCTCGGTGAAAATACCGGGTCAGTTCTCAGCGCAAATCAACACATCTCGGCCTGTTTGACGATGTTCTGGCATCGGATGAGGAAACAAACCTTACCTCGGTGCGCAAACTGGAGCGCATCGAGGCGGAATCCGGCGGCGTCGGCTTCGAGTACTATGGCAATTCGCACCACGACATTTGTTTGTTCGAAGCAGCGTCGGAAGCGATCGTTGTCGCCCCGGACCGGGCCGCCAATCAGTGGCAGAAACAGTCTGGCGCGAACCGCATCGATGCGTCGGAAAGTGAATTGAAAGCTGCACTGCAGGCAATGAGGCCCCATCAGTGGCTCAAGAACGCGTTGATCTTCGTTCCGGCGGTGCTGGCGCATGATATTTTCGTAGGCTCTGTGTTTCTCAGTGCGGCTCTTGCGTTTGTCGCCTTTTCACTGTCGGCCTCTGCCATCTATATCCTCAACGACCTGATGGATCTTGAAGCAGATCGGAAACACAAGACCAAGTGGAAACGGCCATTCGCCAGTGGGCGCTTGAGCGTGCCGAACGGCCTCATGCTGGCATTCGCATCAATCGTGGCGGCATTCGTCATTTCCGCCTTTCTGCCGATCGAATTTGCAGGAATTCTTCTTCTATACCTGTTCATCACGACGGCCTATTCTCTTTCCGTCAAACGTATGCTGCTGCTGGATGTGTTTGTTTTGGCCGGGCTATACACGATCCGCGTCCTTGCGGGGGGAGTGGCCGCAAGTATCGAATATTCCTTCTGGCTGCTTGCCTTTTCCGTGTTTTTCTTCCTGTCGCTTGCGCTTGTAAAACGCTTCACCGAATTGCAGCAGGTTGGCGAGATCGCCTCCAGGGAAGTGACAGGGCGCGGTTATCGTCATGTGGATCTGGAAACGATCTCGCAAGCCGGGATGACCTCCGGGTTCGCTGCGGTCCTCGTGCTCGCGCTTTACATTCAGAGCCCCGCCATCGAGCAGGCCTATGCCTTGCCGCAGATGATCTGGCTTTTATGTCCGCTCATTCTCTACATCATCATGCGAATATGGATACTCGCGCGTCGGGACGAAATGCATGAGGACCCGATTGTCTTTATCCTGAAAGACTGGCGCAGCCAGTTAATGATCGGATGCGGAGCCCTTTTGTTCCTCGTCGCAGCGATCTGGTAGGCCGCCGTGACAAATCATATCCAGAGCTGGGGTGGACTGAAGGTCGAAGCGCCGGATCTCCTCGAGCCCGAGGACTTTCTGAAATCGGATAGACCGGCAGGGAGCATTCTGCCATTCGGTAACGGCCGCAGTTACGGAGACAGCTGTCTGAACGCATCGGGAGCTGCGATTGCGAACCGAAGTTCGAACAGCATCCTGTCATTTGACCGGGTCACGGGAATTGTCGAGGCAGAAGCCGGCGTTCTGCTTTCCGACCTGATCGATGCAGTCGCGCCCCATGGCTGGTTTCCGCCGGTTCTTCCCGGGACGCAATTCGTGACCCTTGGCGGTGCGATCGCGAATGATATTCACGGCAAGAATCATCACCGGAAAGGCACCTTCGGTTGCCATGTCACCGAGATCCACCTGGATCGTTCCGAAGCGGGAAGCCTTGTGCTGCACCAGGGTGATGAAACAGGGCTCTTTGAGGCGACGATTGGCGGACTAGGCCTGACGGGGCTGATCCGCAAGGCCTCGTTGCAACTCATGAAGGCAGGCTCGTCCTGGATCAGGCAGGAGACAACACGGTTCGACAACCTGGAAGCCTATTTCGAGCTCGCGCCGGGGATTGACGAAACACACGAATATGCGGTCGCCTGGATCGACTCTCTCAGCAAGGGAGGGCGTTTCGGGCGCGGTCACCTGATCGCAGGTGATCACGAACAGACGGGGGGACATCCTGCAACCGGAGCCGCATCGAGACTGAGTATACCGTTCACGCCGCCGATCAGCCCTCTCCAGGGTCCGTTTTTGAGGATGTTCAACGAAACCTATTTCCGGAATGCACCGGAGGGGACGTCTTCGAAACGCGTTCCGTTCGACACCTTCTTTTTTCCGCTTGATAGCATTGGCTGCTGGAATCGCCTTTATGGTCCTCGCGGGCTTCATCAGCATCAAAGCGTGATCCCGGAAAGTCAGGGTTTTGAGACTGTCAAAACCCTCCTGGAATGCACTCAGGCAAGTCGGCACGGTTCGTTCCTGACGGTTCTCAAACGCTTTGGGTCAATGAAAAGTCCCGGATTCATGAGCTTTCCGCACGCAGGTTTCACGCTAACACTGGACTTTCCGGACAAGGGAGCTTCGACGTACCGGCTCCTGGAAAAACTCGACGAAGTGACACTTGCCGCCGGCGGTGCGGTCAATCCGTACAAGGACCGGCGAATGTCGGCTGCAACCTTCAAGGCCTCGTTTCCGGAGTGGCAGCGTCTTGAATTGCTGCGAGACCCCATGCTGCTTTCAGATTTCTGGCGGCGAACAGCATTGCAATGAAAATATTAAGTAAACCAAGAGTTAAAATTATTAGTAAGAACAATAATTCTTGGTAACAATTAATTATTCATGTCGAGTTGGGTGGTTGGAGCAAGTTTAAAATTAAGACAAAATAATTGAATTCGTTGAATAATCTCGCTGATACATCGAGCGCGCGCGGAGTTGGCCCTGCATGAATACCTACCTTCCTTTCATATTGTTTACAGTTCTGACCAACGCCGCTGCGCAGATCCTGTTGAAATACGGCATGGTCCGGATCGGTGACTTCAGCACGTTGCATAGCAATCTGATCATCAAACTGCTGCAGGTCGTCTTCTCGCCCTTTGTGTTCCTGGGGCTGTGCACGTTCGTGATTTCCATGGCGTCTCATCTATACGTGTTGTCGAAGGTGGAACTGTCCTACGCCTATCCGTTTTTGTCGCTCGCCTACGTCGTGGTCGCCGTCTACGCCTATTTCATTTTTCAGGAAGATCTGAACGCGATGCGCGTTTTCGGCATTGCTCTGATTTGTGTCGGAACGGTCTTCATCGCGCAGGGCGGATCCAACCACGATCGTGCCGGAACATCCACCAAGGTTCAAACAGCTGCTCTTGAGGAGACCTCGAAGTGAAACATATCCTTTTTGGCGGTGACGGCTTTGTCGGCCGGCAGCTTGCAAAGCGCCTGCTTGAGGACGGCGAGGAAGTCATCGTCGCCGACATCGCGGACAGCCATCGGCATCTTTATGCCAAGGCAACGATTCTCGATTGCGACGTAACGGATCCCGGGGCCGTCGCTGCCGTGCCGATAAGCAGCGAAGATATGGTCTACAATCTCTCGGCGAAAATGCTGTCGCCGATCCAGGTGCGTTCAAAGCGGCACGACTTCTTTTATCCGGTCAACTTTGACGGCACAAAGAACATCATCGAGGCGATGGACCGTGCCGGTGCGCGTAAGCTGGTGCACTATACGACCGACATGGTTTATGGCCATACGGTCACGTTTCCGATGACAGAAGATCATCGCGTCGCACCGCTCGGCGAATATGGGCAGTCGAAGCTGGATACCGAAATTCTGGCGGCCGAGTGGCGGGAACGCGGAATGAATATCACGCTCTTCCGGCCAAGGCTTATCATCGGTCCTGGCCGCCTTGGTATTCTCACCAAGCTCTTCAAGCTGATCGACATGAACTTGCCCGTGCCCATGATCGGATCGGGGAAAAATCCCTACCAGTTCATCTCGGTCTATGATTGCGCGGATGCGGCCTACAAGGCCTGGAAGGCGGGCGTGCCGAACCAGGCCTACAATCTGGGTTCCATTGATCCGCCACCTGTCAGGAAATTGCTCGGCGATCTGGTCAAGCACGCAAATTCAAGGTCGATCCTGCTGCCCACATGGGGATTTGCCGTGAAGCGGACCCTCGATTTTCTGGACGCGATCAATCTGCCTCTGATGGATCCCGAACAGTACCTGATTGCTGACGAAATGTGCGTTTTGGACGTTTCAAAGGGCGAACGTGACCTCGGCTGGGTTCCCGCGTATCGCGACGAAGACATGCTCATTGCCGCATATGACGAATATCGCACACAAAAAGAAGACGGAACCAGCGTCGACCACGGCACGGCCCAGCCTGCAGAATAGGAATTCCAGATGTTGCAGAATACCGCGATCCGCCCCGAATTCTCCGAAGTCGATGTTGACGCCGAACCCGTGAACACCGCAAAGCCGGATCTTCTGACGGTCGAAGAGGCAAAAGCCCTTGATCCCCAGTCGATGGCAGATCTTTTCAAGGAGCACATCAATCCGGGGCAGTTTCACTTCATGAATCTGCTCGGATTTCACAAGGTCAAGATCGAGACTGCCGAAGGCATGTACTATGTCGATCAGAACGGCCGAAAGATCCTGGACTTTTTCGGTGGTTTCGGTTCCCTGGCGCACGGTCACAACCATCCGCGCGTGATTGCAGCCCGTCAGAAATTTCAGGACGAAGGTCGACACGAGATCGCGATTGCCTTTCTGTCGCAATACGCGTCTGCGCTGGCAAAGAACCTGGCAGCCTGTTCTCCCGGTGAACTGGACATGGTGTTTCTCGGGTCTTCTGGGTCTGAAGCGATGGAGGCCGCGGTCAAAGTCGCGGAACGGGCCTCCGGTCGGCCGAACTGCAAGATCGTTCATGCCGGGAACTCCTTCCACGGCAAGACCAAGGGCGTCTTGTCAATCACGGACTCCGACCTCTACCAGGGCAACTTCAAGCTGGTGGAGAACCGCATCAAGGTTCCGTTTGGAGATCTGGAGGCTCTGACCCGCGCAATTGAATCGGATCCGGACATAGGCGTTGTCGTGCTGGAAACGGTCCAGGGCGGCGGCGGCATCATTTCCGCCCCGGAAAGCTATTGGAAGGGCGTGCGGGCCCTGTGTGACAAACACGATGTCCTTTGGGTCGCCGACGAGGTTCAATGCGGCTATGGCCGCACCGGTAAGTTCTATGCATTCGAACACTATGGTGTTGTTCCGGACGTGACTGCGCTGGCCAAGTCTCTCGGCGCCGGCAAGGCCGCCGTCGGAGCGATGATCGCAAAACGCGAGGTCTACATGAAGGCCTACGGGTCGCCGAAAACGGCGATGATCCATGCCCAGGCCACCTTCGGTGGAATAGGCGAGGCAAGCATCACCGCGATCGAAGGCCTGAATGTTCTTTACGATGAAGACCTGATCGAGAACGCCGCGCGTGTCGGTGACCATCTGATTTCCCGTCTGAAGGCTCTTCAGGAAAAATACCCGAAGATCATCAAGGACGTGCGCGGCAAGGGCCTGATGGTGGGGCTGGAGTTCCAGGACTTTTCCAAGACGATGCCGGCAGTGCTGAGACCGATGATTTCCCTTCTGGATGACAAGCTGAAGGGATCGCTGTCGGGATTTATCGGCGCGCAGCTTCTCAGGGACTATGACATCCTGGTTGCCTTTACCGAATACAACCGAAATGTGATCCGACTCGAGCCGCCGCTGGTCTGCACCTCAGAGAACGTCGACACGTTCTGTGACGCTCTTGATGACCTCCTGTCGAAGGGGATCGTCAGCATCGTCAATGGCTTTATCAAGTCGCAAAAGGGATAACCGGCAGACTGCCGGATGCCGGAGCGCTTCATGCTGCCGCCGGTTGGAGAACAACGTGAAAGGCCCGCTCAGATCGAGCGGGTCTTTTGATTTCAGATGGGTTAGGTTGCGCTCCGAATCCGCACAAATCGTTCCACGACCTCGCGCGGCCGATTGAGAACTTGGATCACCTTTCAACGGGCATCGTAAACAACGGCAGTTCGCAGCTGGGTGGATCTGCTCGTGCGGGAGGTGGAATGAAACGAACGTGCCGCCGACGAAGAGCGTCGGGCAGGTCACCGCGAACCATCATCTCGTGGGTATCACCCTGCTGCGTCTGACCGGCAGTACGATACCGCCGGAAACATCAGCCAGCCACACGCCGTCAGGATTATGGCCAGGTTGACGGCAAGCACCACAACACGGTGAAACGTGTCGATCGCAAGATGCGTGAGCCTGTGTTATTTGCTGAGTGCGAGCAATGTCTCGGACGAGCGAAAATCAGGCAAATGCCATCTGGTGAAACGACAGATTGCATTGCGGTGTGTACCAACGCCATCCAGGCGTGTGGGGTGATTTTCTCCAGAGCGGACTCGCTGAAAAAATATCGCCTGAAGCTTGTTCGTCCGCCGGATAATGCAGAGATTGCAGCGTAAACATGTAACCCATTGTTCTGTAATGTTTTTTATTTCAATGCGAACATTTCCTTAGAGTTAATAATATGTTAATATTCCGCATGAAAAGAGAAAGTTTCATCTAAGGAAACTCGGGTTTTTTACATTTGGGGCAGATTTTGTATTGGTAGGAGCTTCACATGAGAATTCTTGGCTTAGCATTGGCCGCAGCAGTGGCTATCCCCTTGGCAACCGCAGGAATAGCAAATGCGGCCCCGATTTCGGGCAATATATCCGGCAACGTTCAGGAAAATGGTCCCAAACCACTTAACCCGTGGGCGCCGGGCGGTACACCCTTGTACGATGATTTCAGCAATGGAACCGGGAATCCGTCGTTTAGCCTTGTAGGCGATACTAACATTTTCGGCACCGTCAGACATGCGAGCAGCACCAACTTCAAAGACGGCTGGACCATGACCCTGGATAGGGCCTACAAAATCGCCTTTAGATGGGCACCCCATGCCGGTAGCCTTTTTGACGGTGATTTCAATTGGGCCGGGAATACCTTCAGCTTCGCTGGGACGGGTGGACCGAGCGTACTTGGCGTTCTGGGAGCAGGAACATATTCCTTCCAGGTCGATGCAACAGCAGGCAGCTTGCCACCCATCGAAGACGGATACTGGTCAGTCCATGCAACGGTTGTTCCGCTACCCGCTGGCGCCGTACTTCTCCTGTCGGCCCTTGGTGGTCTGGCGCTGTTCAGGTCCCGCAAGAGCGCTTGAATTCAACGCGGCATGTGACGCGCATTTGCCGTCTCAACGCTCTGTGTCGAGCACAGGATTACAAACCAAAGCGCCGCCCTCATCGGGCGGCGTTTATTGCTTCCAGGATCGCGATCAGGCACCCCTACTGATCCGACCTGATCCTTTCAGTCGGATATGAGAATTCCGGCCTCCAGATTTCCATCAGCACCAGCAACAGAGGCAGCATGTACGGCAGGTAGATCCGGTCGTCCGGAAGCGGGAAGGTAACGAACTTCCCGCCGATGCAAAGTGTCAGCGCAATCACCGCGATCCACTGCCCCTTGGAGATCTCCCTGCCACTGCGTACCAGCAGAACGAATCCGAACAGGAAAACCGCGAGAAGCATCAACCAGTCATAAGCCTGCACGGTTCTGGCGAGATTGACGACAAGCGCCTTCACGTAAAGGGTTGCGTCAAACGCCGGAGCAAACCCGCGCATATCGTCCTGGTATTCGATGTTCGAGAAATAGAAGTGTGTCCACCAGCCGGGATGGTCTGCGGATCCCACGACGGGAAAATACAGGAAGACGCAGGCGACGAACAGACCGAGATAAATCAGCCTGTGTTTGCCGAGTGCAAGCGAAGCCAGCAGGAGAGCGAAAAACAAGAGGATGCCGTCCGGACGCACGAGAAACATCAGATAAAGAAACGGTGCGGCAAAGAGCGGCTTTTCGCGGCAGACGAAGTAAATGGCCGGGAGACTGAAGACGGCCATCATGAGGTCGGGTGTCGCTTCACGAGCTGAAAACACGTATCCGATCAGAATGGCGACAGGTCCGACAACAAGCAGGCCCTGCACGAAGTCCTGACGAAAACTCCAGACGATGATGATGAACCCGACAAGCGCAGCTGAAGCGGTCGAGATGATGGTTGTGGCATGGACATGCCCAGCCACATCCCCGAGTATCTTGATGGCCTCGGTATAGGCAACCTTCACGCGATACATGGGAAACAGGGAGACGAAGTGCTCCGGATTCTCGTACTGCCCGACGCGGTAGGGAATGCTCGCTGTTACCTTGTAGAACTGAAGATCGGACGCGGCATCCTGAACTTCCTTGTAGGCGGTTGCATGAATTTCTTCCGCCGTTTCAAGCCTGTCTTCCACGGCGATACCGACATACGCCAGAATGTCCCAGTTGTAGACGGGATTGAAATAGGCGAGCGCGAGTGTACCCAGTACGATCAGGGAAAAGACACCTACGGAGATGGTGTTCACGACGTTCGTGGAAAAGATCCGGCCAAGCGCATTCGAGAGGGGGCCGGACCGATGGCCAAATGCGGTTTCGATAGTCATGACTTGGAACAATCTTCTTTGTTGAGGCAACGAGCGGCGGTCTTCGTCCCATAAGACGAGCCCAATAATCCTGTGTCGTGGTCGCTTGCGATCTGTATCGATGCGACCCCGTGGACCCCGGACCACCTTCACCATAAAAAAGTCTGGCTAATAACTGCTTAAACGGCTTCGGGACAAACTCCGGTCACAGATGACTTCCGCAGTTCTGGATCGTGCAGGGCCTCAGGAGAAGTTATTCAACCCAAGACGGGACCTGACCTCGTTCGCAAGCGGTTCAAGTTCGGACGAGGGCACCGTTCGCAGTATGAGCAGCGCGACGATATAGACCGGTACGGCAGCCATCACCGCCAGAACGAGACCAGGAATGCCGGAGACAAATTGCAGAACGCCAAGTGCGGCTGCAGCACAAAGGGCGGCAGCTGAAATGCTCTTTGTCAGTGTCAGAACCGGAACGTGGAGGTTGAGCACACGGCTGCAATAGATCGTGAGAATGCCCAGCAGAAGAGTATTCACAGCGCCTCTCGTCCATGCAGCGCCTGTTTGTCCGAAAGATGGAATAACGATCATCAGGGCCACAATTGAAAGGCCGCACCAGACAAGTGACATTCGAAGTTCATCGGAGCTGCGGTTCTTTGCGAGAATTGCGCGGGAAAGAACTGCGGCCAGCGCCTGAGCAATGGAAAAGACAAGCAGTATCACCGCCGGACCGACGGCTGGAGAGAAGTCGGAACCAAAGACAAGAGGGATGAGTTCGGGAGCAATTGCGGCTCCACCGATCGTGATTGGTGCAATGACGATGGACAACCACCGGATTGTTCTCTCGAAAGCATCGGCAAAGGCCCGGTCGTTCGCCTGATCGTGCAACTCCCCGAATTTGGGAACCACAAACGCGACAATGAAGAGCGCCAGCTGAGCGATCATGCCGGCCATCGTCAGGCCGATGGAATAAAAACCAACCTGGGTGATCGAAAAAAAGAACCCGATGATCGCCAGCTCGATCCGCGCTCCGAACAACGCAAGGATACTCCCTGAAATCCAGTTGTTTTTCGCATACCTGCGGATTTCAGTTGGAATTGGTTTTTTTTCGGAGGGTCTTTTTGCCAGATAGGATTTCAGGTCCATTGCTTGCGGCAGATGCCGGAGCGCGTGTCCGAGAATGGCTCCTGCAGGTCCGAAAACGAGAGCACCGCCCAGAACGGCAAAAGGTTGGATCAGACAGCCGACCAGCGTCCGGTGCGCCGCCCGGTCGAATTGCCCCAGTCCCTGGGCCGCTCCGATCGCCATGGTCGAATAGGCATAGCTGAGATAGAGGGCGATGGTGACGAACCAGACAGTCGCGTTTTCGACCAGACCGCGCTCAAGCAGCCAGAAAGCGTAACAGGCCATTGCAAGCGCGGCCACGACGGACGCCGATGCAAAGCGGAAAAACAATCTGCGGAACAAGCCGCTTCTCAGTTCCGGACTGCCGTCGGTGTCCCGAGCAATGAAGCGCAATGTCGCCTGGGGCATGCCCAGGTCCGCAACAAGCGTGGCCACCGACATGAACCACAACGCATAGGCAACGATACCGGTTCCATCCACACCAAGGGTTCTGGCAACGATGATGCTGCAGACAAAACCTGCGATCATCGACAGCATGCCGGCTGAAGTATTCACAACTGACATTCGCAACATGGATGCCATCAGGTGGGGCCCATCGCAGTTATTCCGTTGGCGTGTCTTTTTGTTGGTGCCCTAACGGTTTCCGGTATCCGCGATTCCGCACCGGATTTTACGTTATTTGCCGTCGTACAAGCAGAAACAACTTATAGATATGAGCAATTAAGATTTGATGATTGATTACCGGAGACCGTGCCCTAGAGTTCAATATATCTTGTTGCCACATCCTTCCAGTCAAGCATTTCGGTTGTGTTTGTTTTGAATGGCGTCTGCAGGGCGTTTTCAATGGCAGTCCGGATCGACGGTTCGTTTCCCGGTCGGTACCCGTGCCGGTTCACGTTGTCGCCGGCCGCGAAGTCCGGGCAGATTGCCGGTAGCTGCAGGTAGTCATACTGCATGAGCTTCATGCTGGAATCGGACAGGTATTCGGCATGGTCCTGATCGTGATAAGGGGCAATGCCAGCATCTGCATGCTTCAGGAACGGCAGTGTCTGGTCAAATGGCATGCGGCCATATTCCGTTACGTTTTCGGGTTTCTCTTCCATCTGTGGCGTTCCGATAAGATGGAACTGGACGTCCGGAAAACTCCTGGCACCGACATGGAAGAAACCGGGGTCGAACAACATCGAACCGACGGTGACAACGTTCCTGCCTGCCGAATAGGGGCTTGGACCTATATTGTCGAATTCGGATTTCGACAATCCGTGCGGTATGAAATGAACGGGCCGATGATACGGTTCGAAATGCGCCGCCATCGCCCGTGCAACGACCACGATGTGGCTGATGGCGTCCCTGTCCCGGAAGAGCTGTTCTTCGATGAATGGATGTGCCCCCACAGTTTCGAGCAGGTCAGACACAAGGTAGATGATTTTCGCCTTTGGAGCAGAGCGGCGGATCCGGCCGATCAGGCTCGCCGAGATGCCCGACTCGACAATGACGACGTCTGCAGATGCTGCAGCGTCGTCCAGGGCGCTGCATGTCGAGTTGATCCACCATTTGAACAAGCCACTGGTCAGGGACTTGAGGTTGCCCAGACCCTTGCCAAACGGATGAATGATCGAGCGCCAGAGGTAACAATCGACACCGTTTATGTTCTGCCACGTGTTGCCGGCCCAAAACAAACCCTTGCGGTGATCGGTCGAAAGAAGCGACAGCGGGCTGAAGCCGGTGGACACGAAACGGACATTGCAGCCGAGGTCGCGATAGGCATCGGCAAGAAAATGCAGGTTTGCGCGCCACCCGGTCCGGTAGTCGTGCCGTGAAACCAGCAGGATTTCCTCAGGCATTCAAAGACCTTTCAACGCATGTACGTGTTTATTGAGCTCCATTCATTCACATTGGCCGGAAAAGCCGTTGAAAAACGGTTTAAGCGCCACAGTTTGAGGCTTTTCACCATCTGCGGACGGTTGCAGGGACAAGGGATAGTCTCCCCACCAGTCGCCAGCGGCCCATGCCGTCCAGCCGATCCATGTATCGTGATTGTTGTTGAGATATCCGGCAACGTCCTTGAGACCCTCCAGGCAATCTTCCGACTGGCTGCCACCAAATTCACCGAGAAAACCCTTGAAATCGTGGTCTCTCATCCAGTCAGTTACCTTTTCGAGTGCGCTGAGCGCATCTTGCGTGCGTGGGCAGGATGCATGCGTTCCGGAGTAGTCTTCATCCAGATATTGATGGAACTCGAAAGCGAAATTGTCCGCCTTGTCGGAAATTTTCCGGAAATGATCCGCGTTCGACCCTCCCTCCTGTTCGTCGAACCAGTGTGATGCGCCTGTCCAGATCGTGCCCGGAACCAGCACCAGTTGATCCGCGCCGCTGTCGCGGATCGCATCGAGACCCGCCTGTGCTCCCTCGAACCAGGTCTTGGCCGTGATGTCGGCAGGTTCGTTCATAAGGCCGAAGACGACCATGTCGTTTCCAGCGAAATAAGGAGGCAGCCGCCTCCAGAAGTCGGCAAGTGCTTCGCTCGTGACCGTGCCGGTTCCAAGCCGCTGCCCCCTGTATTCGGCATAGTTGTGCAGATCCAGAACAACGCTCAGGCCACGGCTGTTGGCAGCTTGAACGGTGACCTGCAGGCGTGCGAGTTCGGCAGGATCGAAGTTGCCGAAAAGCTCCGGCTGCAGGCGTTCCCAGAGGAATGGAAGCCGGATCGCGGTCATTTCCTGCTGCGCCGCCCAGTCGAGTGTTGTTTCCGAAGGGTAGATGTAACCCTGACCGTGAATGGAACCCGGATCTCCGAACTCTGCGCCGGCAATATTAACGCCCCGCAGGCATGTGGTCGCCTGAACTGATGCAGGCATTTGGACCAGGGCGCAAATGAACCAGAAGAGGAACGCAGGACGAATTGCAGCTGCAAGCCGAGGAGGAGACGGTGGAAGAGCGGAAGTGGGCTTGAACATGCGTTTGTTTCGGAGGCTTCTGCGTCAAATGGACTGGCGATAAAGGTATTGTTGATGGGCGGATGATAATGTGGTTCCTGATAACACCACTTAGCGAGTATCGCCGGATAACTTGGATGGACGCAATAGGTCAGCCGGACATCGCGGAAAGCAACCCCACGAGCCTTTCGGGAAAGAATATTGTTCACGTCGTGAGGCAGTATTCGCCGAGCATTGGTGGGCTGGAAGATGTCGTCAGAAATCTGGCGGTTCAGCAGAAAGACCGGTTCGCCAGCGTCAGGATCGTTACACTCGACCGCCTGTTCACCGATCCGGGGACAAGTCTTTTGCACCACGATGTCATCGACGGAATTGAAGTGATCCGTATTCCCTATTCAGGCAGTTCGCGGTATCCGCTCGCTCCTTCGGTACTCGGGCAGATTTCTGATGCTGATCTGGTCCATGTCCATGCAATCGATTTCTTTTTCGACTTTCTTGCAATGACGAGACCGGTACATCGCCGGAAACTGGTGGCCACGACACATGGCGGATTTTTTCATACGCGAAACTTCGCCAGGCTGAAATCTGTCTGGTTCAATACGCTTACGCGCTTTTCAGCGTCGCAGTATTCAGCGCTTGCTTGTTGCAGCACCAGTGATCTTGACTTGTTCAACAAGATATCTCCAGGAAAGTCGGTACTAATTGAAAACGGCGTGGCGATTGAAAAATTCCGGAACGCCGCCGCGCTTCATCCAGAAAGAAGACTGCTCACACTTGGACGGTTTTCTTCGAACAAGCGGTTGGAATGCCTGATTGAAATGATGGCAGTGCTTTGTGCCGAAGATCCCCGTTGGCATCTCGATATCGCTGGCATGGAGTCTGATCTGACGCGCAATGAACTGTTGCAAATGGCCGAAACCCGCGGAGTGTCCGGTAATGTCGACGTTCATGTCGGGTTGACGAATACACAGTTGAGGGACTTGATCACGCGGTCCAGTTTATTTGTCAGTGCGTCCGAGTATGAAGGTTTCGGGCTCGTCCTGATTGAGGCGCTGAGCGCGGGATTGATACCCGTTGTTGAAGCCAATGAAGCCTTCAGGGCCATTGCGGAGAAACATTCGGTTGTTCGCACGGTTGACTATTCGAAGCCTCGTCAGGCAGCAGATGTTGTAAAGTCGGAATATCTGGAGCTGGAACAGCGACCGGATCTGCGCGAAGACGCCGTTCATGCAGCCCGGGCATATGGCTGGCCTTCACGGGCGCGCCAGTACGAAGATCTCTACCGGTCTATTTTTGCAGCTTGAGTCTCGCCATGCAGCCAGTCAGGCTCGCTTCATGCGCTCAGATCCTGGGAATTCGGCAACTTGCGAAGGTTTTGATGGCCGCCTTGATGGTTTTGCGGGTGAGAGGCGGACAACGTCGGCCGCGCCGGCAACTATCCAGAAGAGCGCAGCAAGCTTGATCGAATAAAATGAGTTGGAAATTGTCATGAGCAGCGCGATGTAGGTCGCGGCCAATGCCTTGAACTGTATCGCGCGCTGATCTTCGTAAGGTGCGAAAATATAGCAGGTCCACAGGGCGATAAGACCGATGGCGCCGATTTGCGCGAGTGAATAGGCAAAGCCGTTGTCTGCAAGGAACGGCACATTTCCGTCGACACCGAACAGGATCTCCGGCGTGACTTTCTGCAGCAACTGGCTTGCGTGCACCAGTCGGCCTGCAAAATCGTCACTCCATCCGATCTGTGTCGACCAGCCTCCGTAGAGGCCGAGTGCGAAAACGATCAGCAGCGGCAAGCTCCACCAGGTCACCCTGGGCAGAAAGAGTCCAGCCACCGCTGCGGCGACCATTGCAACGCAAACGAACATTCCAAAACGGGCGTCTGGGAGAATGACGGCTGCGAAAGCGGCAGCAAACATCAGTGAGCGATAACGCATACCTGAACGGAAAAGCGCCCAGAGGCACAGGAAGGCGCCGAAATTGCCCATTGTCACAGGTTCCAGGAACACCGACGAGGCACGAACGTTCCCCAGGAATTCAAGAAAATTCCGTCCGTCTACGCGTGTGCTGGAGACAAAGAGATTGGAGCCTTCGATGAAATTGGCATCTGCACTCAGCGTCCCACGGGCAACGTAATAGTCGAAGATGCTCACGAGTCCGGTATAGACATCAAGAAAGACAAACTCGAAAAACCCGACCGACAGGACGACAAGGGCACTGATCCACACCAGTCTGTCCGCATCCTCGATTTGTCTGAAGTTCCTGCCGATCAAATAGAAGACGATCGGGATTAGGAAATCGCGGATCGCCTTGAGATCCAGCTCGGGTCGCAAGGTGAGGATCAGCGCCATGTAGCTGAAATAGAGCAGTAAAATCAGTAACAGCAGGGTGTTGCGGCTGAAGATCAGGAAAAGTGCGACTGCAAGCAATGCCATTTCCGACAGGATCACGTGGCTTTCGGAAATTCGGAACACATTGGTGTTCACGAAGGCCAGGACAAAATTGAAAAGAAGAGTTCCGACGACCACTGCATAGACGGCTTTCAGCCAAAGCCGGTACTGTGTCCGCTCCAGGTCCGGTGCTGTCGGGACCGCAATCTGGTGGTCATGCAGCGCTGAGGACAACATTTCCGATGATCCGGTCATACCAGGGTTCCAGGAAGGCGGCTGCGTGCTCGAACTCGGTCTCGTTGGTGTCTCCTACTGCCGTGATCAGAATGATGCCGTCGCAATGCCGTAGCAGGACCGGCAGCATCGGGCTTTCATCGATGTTCCCTGCGTCGACAAGCAGAATATCTTCATTTGCGGAACCGAGATCGCCGCCTGACGCATATTTCTTGCGAGGATCGATGTGCTCCACACGAAGGTACCCGGCAAGACCGGCCGCATCGGCGGCACCGGCTGACCGAGGCACCGCGCCACTTGAGCTCGAAAGCTTGGCGGCAATCGTTTGAATGGCGTCTATTCCCGGAGTGACCGGTTGAGGTTTACGGGGGGCTTTGGTTTCGACCTGGCGATTGTTGGTCGTATGAGCAAAGAGGATCTCTTCACCCATGTCATGGAGTTCTTCCGCGACGCTGCGAACAAACTCGGAGGTGTCGCCGGTGCGTCCGACCGAAAGAGCAAGGATGTTGGCTGGGCGATTATAGGCGATTGCATTTCTGAGTGCGTAGGCGACCCGAACCCGTGCGATTGCAGCCTTGGACTCCAGCTGTGTTCGATCGGTTCCGGCCAGATGCGGCAATCTTATCAGGGACGCGCTTTCCTGCGCCGGTTTGTTCAGGTTGGCCAGGATGGGGGCACTTGTTTGCGTGACAAGTTGCCGTTCGGACATCATGGGTCCCCTGAGAACTGTCAGCAACACCGCTCCCGACGCCGCAACAGCAAATCCGAAGACCAGGGCGGCACCAAGCACGAGAATTTTCTTGGGCCCGCTCGCAGTGGTCGGAACGGGAGCCTCGGACAAAATACGGGTCGTGCTTGTGTCGAGCTCCGGAAGTTCTTCAAGTTCTCTGGAGCGTTTCAGAAAGGCTTCGTAGACCGCCCGGCTCGCACCGGCTTCACTTTGCAGCTGCCGAAGTTCGATCAGGGCCTTGCCCTGCACCGTATTCTGCGACTGGAGATTTTTCGACTGCAGCTCGAGAGCGTTGACTGTCGACTGGGCCTGTTCAAAACGGTTGCGGACAGACTGCTTGATACGCTGCAACTCACTTTGTATTTCGCGTTGCGTATTTGATAGTTGCGAACGCAATTCAAGCAGCGTTGGATGGTTTGATCCAAGGGTTGTTGCGGCTTCTGCAACCTGTTGCGCCACCTGGGCATATTGGACCCTCAGTGAGCTCAGGACCGTGTTTTCTGTGCCGCCCGGAACCGCACCTGCCTCCACGTCGGACAGCGTCAGGGGCGCCATCTGGTCATAGAGTGACTTTGCGCGCTCCAGTTCGACCCGTGCATCGGTGATTTGGGTGTTCAGCGCGTCCAGCTGCTGGTCGATGACGGACCCGCCGGAGGTGCTGATCAAACCTTGTCGCGCCTTGTAGGCTTCCACCGCAGCTTCCGCTGTTTCGACGCGTGAACGCAATTGCTGCGCCTGCTTGCCCAGGGTCGTGCTGGCTCGGGCCAATGCTTCGGTCCGTGTGCTTCGGTTTTGCTCGATGTAGACCCGGGCGGTTTCGTTGGCAATTGACGCTGCCAGCTCGGGGTCGGGATGGCTGACAGTGATCGAAAAGACGAATGATCGGCCCAGCCGAAAGACGTTGATCGCCTCTCTCAGGGCTTCCAGCGTTGCGGCCCGAACATCGGAAGAAGACCTGGAGTTGCCGGAAAGGCCACCTCCGATGACAGAAAGCAGCCTGTTTCGCAGGCCGGGCTGATAAAAACCCGGATCGCTATCGAGTTTAAGGTTGTTGGCGACTTCGTTCAGGACACCCGCGGACAGGATCACGAAGGTCTGGCTATCAAGATCCATCGCCTGCAAGGTCTGGCTTCTGCCCGGCGCCGTCGGATCTGTCCCGATGATCTGAACCCCGTCCGGCTGCACCAGCAATTCCGCGCTGGTCTGGTAGACCGGCGTCTTGAGAGCGGCGTAGGTGAGTGCAAGGACCGCAAAGACGATCGGGCACACGATCAACCAGACCAGGTGGCGCCGCAGGATCGCCGGTATCTCTGACAAATCAATCATACTGCCATCGGTCTTCAGTTTCGTCGCATTCGCTGCACGCCGAGTTCATGACCGCCATCTTCCGGGTTCTTAGCCAGAAGACCGGTCACCATCCTCATTGGTAAACAAACATGATTAACGCATCGCAAATAAGCAGATCGGAACCGCCTCAACTTCGAGCAAGCGTTTAGAAGAAGTTTCTAGGTTAATTAGAAAATCGAGTGCCACGAAAACCAAGTATTAATAATAATATCGGCGCCATTTCTGAATTAAGTTATTTTAATTGTATTCGAGATAAGACAATTCAATCTTGAACAAAGACAAGACGGATAAAGTGCATTCAATACCATGTGGCTCTCCTTTGATGAATAAGGTGGATCTGAATCTTCCGATCAGGGCCGGTACATCGCTAATCGGTCCGTTGGCGATCTTGAGGATGAGCAGTGAGGAAGCTGTTCAGCTTGTGCGGTCATCTGTCCAGATGAGCTATCCGCTCGACATCGCCATTTGCAATGCACACACAACACTGACCGCTTTGGATAATCCGGCATTTGCCGAAACGCTTCGGCACATGACATTGTTGAACGACGGAATCGGCGTCGACCTGGCAAGTCGTTTTTTGAACGGGAAACCTTTCCCGGACAATTTGAACGGTACAGATCTGATCCCGGATATTCTCACGGAAGTTGGATTTCCCCTGAAGATTTTTTTGCTGGGAGCGACGGACCGCCACGTTCAGCTTGCAAAAAAACACATCGAAACGGTCTATCCGATGCACCATGTTGTTGGAGCCCGGAACGGATATTTTGACTTGGCTGAATGCTCGCACGTCTGCGAGCAAATCAATCGCGCCCGACCGGACCTGCTCCTTGTCGGCATGGGCAATCCGCGACAGGAGAAATTTATCGTCGAAAATCGCGCCAGGCTGAATGCCACGGTGGCAATCGGCGTCGGCGCATTGTTCGATTTCATGTCCGGTTCAGTCGTCAGGGCACCGAAATTCGTACAGTCCATTGGTCTGGAATGGCTGTTCCGCCTGTTGCAGGAACCACGCCGCTTGTTTCGCAGGTACATCATAGGGATTCCGCGTTTCTTCATCGCACTTCTGAAACTGAAATTTGGAAAGTCAGACACAGAAAACTAGCGCGCCGAACCGCGTTCAGGATCTATTGCTCGCCAGGACAATGCGTATTTTTTCAACCGTGTCCGCGACGGTCGTTGATGTCCTTGTCCTTGGCAGTTTCGGCCGGTCAATCATGATTACCGGCAATCCCAGTCTGCGAGCGGCTTCGATCTTGGCGTAGGACCTTTCCCCACCACTGTTTTTCGCAACCAGATGCGTGATGCCGCGCTTACGCAGCAGTGACATCTCTTCCTCCGCCGAACTTGATGGCCGTGCCAGAACCAGCTCCCATTGTGGCGGCAAAGGTTGGCGAGGCGGCTCGATCATGCGCGCAACACCGAAAATGTCCGAACGAGGGTAAAAACGGGAGATTTCCTTGCGTCCAACTGCCAGAAATGCACGGGACGCAGACGGCAGCGCTGAAACCGCATCCTCTATCGAAACAACCGGTTCCCACCGGTCTTCCTCGAGAGGTTTCCAGGCCGTGCGTTCCAGGCGAAGAAGGGGCAGTCGACAGTTGCTGCAGGCCTCAAAAGCATTGCGGCTCATCTGCGCCGCAAAAGGGTGCGTCGCATCGATGACCAGGGTGACGCTCTCATCTTCAAGAAATTTTGCGAGCCCGGCTGTCCCGCCGAACCCGCCGATACGTGTGGGCACTCCAAGATCCGGCAGATCTCTGACAACGCCGGCGAAGGAAACGGTCAGGTGCAGTCCGGGAAACGCGCTGCTCAGCCTTTCGGCGAGCTGACGGGCTTCGAAAGTCCCCGCAAGCAGCAAGATGTGATCAGGTGCCGTCAAAGCCGCTTTCTCCCAGGACGTTGCCCTGCCGATCGGTTATCAGAACTTCCAGTGCAACCGGTGCACCCTTGAGAATTTTCCGGACTTCCAGCTTTGTTCGTTTTGCCAGCAAACCGCTCAGGTCGACATTTTCCTCCAGTGACCGGTCGAGTACTTCCTTTGCCGTATTTGCCTGGGCGGCATCGACGATGGAAGAAGGAGACGCACCGGCTTCTGCAAGAAGGTCCTGCAGAAAGGCAAAATCGACGGAACTCCGGGCTGAATGCAGGTCGAGCGCACCTTGCGCCAGCTTTGAGAACTTGGCGAACCCTCCGGCGAGGGTCAGCCTGTCGACAGGGTGATGGCGCAGGTACTTGAGCAGGCCACCGGCAAAGTCACCCATATCCAGGTAGGCTGTCTCGTCGAGAGAATATCGCGCCTTTACCGCATCTTCGGAGGACGTTCCGGTGGCGCCGACGACATGAGTCAGACCGATTGCGCGCGCGACATCGATACCGCGATGGATGGAAGCGATCCAGGCCGCACAGGAAAACGGGCGCACGATACCGGTTGTCCCAAGCACCGACAGTCCACCGACGATGCCGAGACGCCCGTTCATTGTCTTGAGCGCCAGTTCCGCGCCGCCGTCAATCGAGACTTCGATTTCCACATCACCTGTTGCGCCGTATTTGTCCGCGACTTCCCCGATCGCTGTCTGCATCATCTGTCGCGGAACCGGGTTGATCGCCGGTTCGCCCGGCGGGATCGGCAACCCTGGCCGCGTCACCGTGCCGACACCGTCGCCGGCCTTGAACCGGACACCCGATCCGGGTTCCAAAATCCGAACGGTCGATGTGATCAGGGCGCCATGTGTCACGTCAGGATCGTCACCCGCATCCTTGGTGATGGTCGCGCTGGAAACATCACCGGAAATACTGTGCCGGGTGAGAATGAAATCGGCGGTGCCGCCTCTTGGCAGGGAAATCTCAACAGGGTCGGGAAATGTGCCGGTTATGAGTGCACAATAGGCAGCCTTGGCCGCAGCCGTTGCACATGCGCCCGTCGTCCAGCCTCGTCTCAGTTCTTTCGGTTCGTTCCTCGACATGCAGACTCTATAGCTGATGTTGCAGACCGGTGCGCGCTCCTGAGCGACATTGCTCTGAAATGTCGCATTCCTTGTGTTTTCCATCGCGCAGGTGCTTGGCGTTGCGGAAAATGCCGGATAAACAGAATTCATGAACGGTACTGACAAGAACAATAGATTTCCCGATGGCCTGCCGGTTTTTGAATCTGGCTGGGTGTGGCTTGCCGGTGCCGGTCCAGGCGATCCCGGCCTCCTGACGCTGCACGCCGTGAACGGTCTGCGCCAGGCGGATATTGTTGTTTATGACGCTCTAGTCGACAGAAGCATTCTCGACTGGGTCAAACCCGGTGCAGTGACGGATTTTGCTGGCAAACGCGGCGGCAAACCCAGTCCGAAACAACGCGATATCACACTGAAGCTCATCGATTATGCCCGCGCAGGAAAGCGTGTGCTTCGCTTGAAAGGCGGCGATCCATTCGTCTTCGGGCGTGGCGGCGAAGAAGCCCTCGGTCTTGTCGAGGCAGGTGTTCCGTTCCGGATCATTCCGGGTGTCACTGCCGGTATCGGAGGTCTCGCCTACGCGGGCATCCCGGCAACTCACCGTGATTGCAATCAGGCAGTCACGTTCCTGACCGGTCATGACCAGACCGGTTTGACCCCCGATGCCATCAATTGGGACGGGATTGCAAAGGGATCTCCGGTAATAGTCATGTACATGGCAATGAAACATCTGGAGACGATAGCCGGCAAACTCATAAGTTGTGGGCGATCTGTTGACGAGCCTGTGGGTATCGTGTGCAATGCTTCCCTGGCCGGCCAACAGGTTCTGGAGACGACGCTGGGTCGCTGTGCGGTCGATGCTGCAGCTGCCGATATCCAGCCTCCGGCGATAGTCTGCGTCGGAGAAGTCGTGCGACTGCGCAATGGCCTGGATTGGCTCGGGGCCATGTCTGGCAAGATATTGACATCCGATCCACTGGATCTGCGCGCAAAGAACCGAACGGCAGATGCCGGATAGCGAGACATTCAAGGACCCTGGAGGGGTGTTGATTGCGGCACCTTCCTCCGGTGCCGGCAAGACGACGCTTACTCTCTCGCTGCTAAGAGCCTTCCGCAATGCCGGTCGTCTGGTGGCGTCAGCGAAATCCGGTCCGGATTATATCGATCCGAAGTTTCACGAAGCTGCCAGCAGCAAACACTGCATCAACCTGGATGCCTGGGCGATGGACACCGATACGCTGCGCGCCCTGGCGATGGACCAGGCAACAGGGCATGAATTGCTTCTGATTGAAGGCGCAATGGGATTGTTCGACGGCGCGGCGAACGGGAAGGGATCCGCCGCCGAGCTTGCAGCGGCCCTCACTGTTCCCGTGATCCTTGTCATTGATTGTGCCAGGCAGGCTCAGTCTATCGCAGCGCTGGTTTTCGGGTTTCAGAATTACCGGCCTGATGTTCAAATTGCAGGTGTAATCCTTAACCGCGTTGGCAGTGCGCGTCATGAAACAATGCTTCGTACAGCGCTCGCACCGCTGGGTGTGACTGTGTTCGGGGCCATCCCGCGTTCGATGGAATTGACGTTGCCGGAACGACATCTGGGTCTGGTGCAGGCGAGTGAGCACAAGGATCTGGAGACGTTTCTGGAAACGGCGGCAGAGCTTTGCCGCACACATGTTGATCTGGCAGCCATTGAAAGCGCGGCGACCTGTATTCCGGCTGCAGAAGCCATTCGGATGAACCTGCCGCCGCCTCTGGGGCGGAAGATAGCGGTGGCGCGCGACGTAGCCTTTGCTTTTTCCTATCCGCACCTGTTGCACGATTGGCAACGAAAGGGTGCGGAAATCGCTTTCTTTTCACCGCTTGCCGACGAAGCCCCAGGCCCGGATGCAGATGCGATATTTCTCCCAGGGGGGTATCCGGAACTCCATGCAGCGGTCTTGGCAGGGGCTGAAGGCTTCAAGTCAGGAATGCGGCAGGCTGCGAATGCGGGCACACTCATCTACGGCGAATGCGGTGGCTACATGACGCTCGGCGAAGGTC